GTGTTGCAAATAGTGATGCTCCTTTTCCACTGGAGAGAGCATAACATGTAATAACTCTTTCACCAGGCAAATGGATGACATTCTTTCAGAAAACAAAATGTTTGGAGTTATCTCTCAGTTTATTATGCTAGATGGGGGTCATGACAATAGCCTAACTAGTTATTTTATATTATAGTATGATTATAATATCAGCTCTAAATGTTTTTATGTCTGCTATTTTTGTTGTTCTTCTCTGGCGTACCTCACTGCAACTTAGACTGGTGCTCTTAAAAGTTTTAACACCACAAATGGATAACTAGATTGTGGCATGTAAATCCACTCAAGAATACCATTTAGCAATGAAAGGAATGGACTACAGCCAGGCCCAGTGATGCACATCTGTAATACCAACTGCTTAGGAGGCTGAGATAGAAGGATCATGAGTTCATGAGTTCAAAGCCAGCCTCATCAACGATGAGGTGCTAAGCAACTCAGTGAGACCCTGTCTCTAAATAAAATACAAAGTACAGCTGGAGATTTGGCTCAGTGGTTGAGTGCCCCCGAGTTCAATCCCCATTATCCCCTCCCACCAAACAAAACAAAACAAAAGCCTTTTCTTTGTCTACCATCATTTGATTGCGGATGTACACGTGTCATGTGTATAACACATGGGTAACTATATGCCCCTCTCCTCCCCTCACTCCCTGTGCACATTCCAAAGTTTGTTCATTCTTCCCTACTTGGTTCGTTTATAAATACAAAGTATTTGTAAACAAATTTCTTTAGTATTTGTTCTTGCCACCCCCCAATGAATCAGCTTCCTCTTATCAGAAAAAATATTCCACCTTTGGTTTCTTGGGATTGCTTATTTTACTTAGCATGGTATTCTCTAGTTCCATCCATTTGCTTACAAATGTCATAATTTTATTTTTCTTTAACACTGAGTAATATTCCATTGTGTTTATATGCCACATTTTCTTTATCCATTCATCTGTTGAAGGGCATCTAGGTTGGTTCCATAGTTTAGCTATTATGAATTGAGCTGCTATAAGTGTTGATGTGGCTGCTTCACTGTAGTATGCTGATTTTAAGACCTTTGGATATTGACTGAGTGTAGGAGAGCTGGGTCAAATAGTGGTTACATTCCAAGTTTTCTGACAAGTCTCCATGACTCATCTCTAGCAATGTGTGAGTGTATCTTTTTCCCTACATCCTTGTCAACACTTATCATTGCTTGTAGTCTAGATAATTGCCATTCCATCTGGAGTGAGATGAAATGTTAGAGTCATTTTGATTTGCATTTCTCTAATAGAGATGATGAACATTTTTTTCATGTTTGTTGATTGATTGTAATTTCTTTTGTGAAATGTTGGTTCAGTTCCTTAGCCCATTTGTTAATTGGGTGATTTGTTGTTTTGATGTTGGGTTATTTGAGTTCTTTATATATCCTGGAGATATCCTGGGGTAAAGTTTTTCTCCATGGGTTCTATTTTTTAACTCTTTCTTTTTCCTGTGCAGAAAGTTTTTAGTTTGAGGCAATTTCATTACTGCTGTTACCCTTGATTTAGGGTCATAACTAAGAAATTATTCCTCAGGCCAATGTCATGGAGCTTTTTTATTAGGTTTTTTTTTACAGTAGCATTATAATTTTAAACATTGCATTTAAGTAATTATTTTTGTATATGATGAGAAATAATGGGCCCTGGTTTCCTCCTTCTAAAAACAGCTATCCAGTTTTTGCAGCACCATTTATTGACAAGACAGTCCTTTTTCATTGTGTGTTCTTGGCACCTTTATGGAGAGTCAGTTGACTGTGTGGTGTGCGGTGCTATTCTGTGCTCTGTGTCCTGTTTCATTGCTTGATATGTCTGTTAATGTACTATTACTGTGCTGTTTTGATTATTACAGTTTTGGAATACATTTTGAAATGCAGTAATTTGATACTTGCGGTTATATTTGGTCAATATTGCTTTGGCTACTTAAGATCTTTCATGTTTCCACATGAATTTTAGGATTTTTTTTTTAATTTTGTGAAGAATGACATTGAAATATTGATAGGGATTGCATTAAATTTGTACAACACTTTGGGTGATATGTACATTTTAACAATATGAATCCTCCCATTCCATCAACACAAGATGTCTTTTTATTGTGTCATCATCAATGTTTTATAAAATTTTTAGTACATGCATCTCTCACCTTCTTGGTTGATTTTGTTTTCAAGATTTTTGTATTTTTGTTTAAATACCAACACACCTGGCTCAAGCTCCATATTTTCCTAATGATTTTTGTCCAGATGATCTGTCTAGTTTCAAAAATTTTGCTGTTTCAGATTTTTGATATTTGCTTTATAAATTTCAGTTTTCCTAAATATACTTTAAATTGTTATTTATTCTTGATGAATTGACTATCATTATTTAATGACCTATTGTTTCTTTTGTTAGTGTTTGACCTAATGTTTATTTTGTCTGAAATACGTTTAGGTATACTTATGTTTTTGGTTTCTGTTTGCTGTAGTATCTTTTTTCATCCCACAAAGGGACTTTATGGACATGAGCGAATACCTTTGTCAGATTCATTGAATCATACATATAAAATCAATACTTATTATCATACTTGAATAAAGATTAAAAGAAATCTAAATACTAAAGTCTTATCTTCGTGCCTAAAGAGTGAAAGCATAAAACACTTTGAAAAATTACATCGTGCCAGGTATGGTGTTGTACACCTGAAATCCACCTTCTTGGCAGGTTGAGGCAGGAAGATTACAAGTTCAAAGCCAGCCTGGTCAATATCCAGACCCTGTCTCAAAATGAAGAGGGCAGGAAGTGTAGCTTAGTGGTAGAATACTTACCTAGTATGCATGAAACCTGATTTCCATCCCCAATAACACCAAAAATTAGCATTGTTTCAGTAGCTCACAATACATTCATTTAAATATTTTAGTTTTTTGTTTTTCCACAGTGCCTTTATTTATCTTTATGTGGTGCTGAGGATCAAATCCAGGGCCTCACACATGCTAGACAAGCACTCTACCACTGAGTCACAACCCCAGTCCTAAATATTTTATTTTGATTTCACTAAACATGAAGATTTGTGTTGTCCATTTACTGTATCATGGTATATTATATAGGTAGTTTAGTATTCCATGCGTTAAGTCACATTACTGACAATAATAGGAGTTTTTTTTTTTTTTTTTTCTTTTTTGTTGATGCTGGGGATTGTGAACCCAGGGCCTTGTGCATGCAAGGCAATTTCTCTACCAACTGAGCTATATCCCCAGGCCTAGAAGGGTTTTAAAAGTGACTTATTATTATATTAATAAGTGATAGCACTTCAGTTTTGGAATGTTTTAGTAGGATTTGTACTTGTGTTTTCCCCTAAACTGTATGTTTTTTGGTTTACTTTCACTTGTTAATAGAGTTCATATTATAATTAAATATTCTGAAACACTGTAAAATGTTTTTAATATTAAAAAATACTGATACAATTAACTGAATGCATTAAACTTGCTCCCTTGCTGTGTCGTGTTTTCTGTGTGTTTCTCAGGTGGCCAGGGTGTGTGCCAGCGCAGAGATAGAATAGATAGGGATAGCAGCGTAGGTATGTGCTTACATCAGATAATTCTGGTGATAAGTTGTATAAACAATCAACCTCAGAATGGAATTGAAATTTAAACTTTGGATGGTGTTCACCTATGTTGCCCAGGTTGGATTTGAACTCTTGTGCTTTTCAAAATCATCTTCCTACCTCAGTCTTCCAGGTAGCTGGGACTATAGAGATCTGCCAGTGTGCCCAGTTAAAGTATCATTCTTTGAACCTTTTCTATGAGCTTCAGATGTCCAGATAAAATTCCACAAAAGTTATTTTTTGAGAAAAAGAAAAAGTCCCAGAAATAATAATGCCTGTCAGAACACAAGCTTTTGCTTCATGAAGCATGTGTTTTGTTTAAAGATTATTGAATAACTTTTCACTCATCAACTTTCTGTATATATGGTGTAAAGACTATTCCAAGTTGAATGAACTGTAGTATTGAGAGTTTAAAGATCAAGATGTCTAGAATCCTTTTTATCACTTATCTCTTTGACCTTTCACTGGTGCTTTTAACACAGTTGAGAGGAAAGAATAACTTGTCTTTTCACATTTAAGCAATTAAAACTTCATGACAAAATGGAGGGGACTTGCAGGAGTATATCATCTCTGAAGAAGCTTACCTTCAATTAAGATGATGCCATAGTTCTTGTGGAAATATGTTTGCTGACTATAGAGATCTTTTACTGTTGAAGTCTCTGTTCAGAGAGAGCCTAGTACCCAGAATGACATCATCAGTGGCATTGTTTATAGAGTTGTAAGGGGCGGGGTGGATGGATGCCATCATGGCTTCTCCATATTGTCGTTATTTTTTTTAGAGACTATTAACCCTATATAAGCATTAGGTCCAGAAAAGTTAATCCAGCACACTTCATATGTTTTTCTTTCTAATTATACAATATTCTATAAATTGAACATTCTCGTAACATTTATTTGAAATATATGTTCCTTGTTCATGAAGTGGTATAAAGAAAATATTTTTTCTTAATTTATTGAAAAAACACTGCATAAACACTAAAGTGGAACAGTTTAAGGATAATATAATAAATTTAGGGTAAATTTAGCACATTTTAAAAATATATAATATATACCATAACAATTCCTTGGCCTTAGTGGGGAGGAGTAGTGAAGAGATTAAATAGCTCTTAAAGGATGGTTTGGGAGAGGTGGGGCTGTCTTGCATTTTATGGGAGAGCTTGAGTCAAATTTGAGCCAAAGCAAGAAGACTGATCTAAACTGGAATGCCATGTACCATTAGCTTTCCCATTATTAGTAGGCTAGGTCAAAATCTGACTTTAGCATAGCACTAGATAAGTCATGTAATGATTCTGTGCACTTTTAAACAGGATGATGACCAGGAGAATTTTGTAAGTTTTAATTACTAATAGCTTCTCTTCATAAAATTTTACTTTGGTATTTTCCACGTACAGGTTTAAGAAAATCTACCAAGAAGCGCAGTGAGTCCCCACCTGCTGAGCTCCCCAGTTTGAGGCGGAGCACACGCCAAAAGACCACGGGCTCCTGTGCTAGTACCAGGTAGGTAATTAGTTTTGTTTCCAGTTAACTGTTTCATTTGCTTTCTTTTCCTAAGCTTATTAAAGTCTTGTCAAAATCCTTATTTCTAAACTCTTTTTTAAAAAAGTTAATAATAATAATAATAAAATATATAATAATAATGTCATACGTGACATTAGAATCCATTTTGATATGATCAGACAAGCATAGAATATGTCTTAGTAATGATCTCATTCTTGTGGATGTACATGATGGAGGGATTTACCATAATGTTTTCATATGTGCATAGGAAAATTATGTCAGGTTCATTCCACTGTCTTTTTCCTACCCCCCACTCCCTTCCCTCCATTTCTTGTTCTCTAATCTACTGAACTTCCATACATCCCCCTTATCGTGAGTTAGCTTTCACAAATCAGAGAAAACATTTAACCTTTGGCTTTTGGGAACTGGCATTTCACTTAGCATGATAGTTTCCAGATACATCTATTTACTTGCAAATGTCATAATAAAGTAATTCTTTTTTATGGCTGAATAATACTTTATTGTGTATGTATATACTACATTTTCTTATCCATTTGGGATGCCTATTTTAATGGTTGTAGTATTGCCTTGTTTCTGAAAGTGTTGGCCTTGGTTACTAAGCTAAATGAGAAAGGAAAAGAAAATCTCTTAATTTTTATATTTCAAAACCTGCCTATCAAAAGAAAGTGTAGTCATTTGAGTGTGTTCTTTCTTTAATTTCTGTATCTCCCAGTTGTTGTGGATATCATTTTCAGACTGTCCACCAGCCTTGATGTGTGGAACAGAATATTATTTCACATAGTTTTATTAAAACTCATTGAGAAACTTAGGTTAAAGGAAAAATTTTTTCCTGAAATTTTCCTGAGACTTTCAGGCTTGGTGTTTGGTTAAGTGCACTTGTACTGTTAATTACTCTGTAGCCAGATGTTAATTCTCCCTCTTTCATATGTAGTTTCCCCTAGTAATTGCATCAAACCACTGATGAGGCTATGAATTTAGCTTGTCTCTTTCTTACCCTAACTCAGATAAGCAGAAAAAGGTTTTAAGCACTTAAATTGATTCTTCTGTTTTGATTGTTATTAGTGGTAATAAATAAGTCATACTATTGTATGACTGGTACTAAATCATAAGAAATGCCATTTTAAATTCTCACTTGTCCACTTTTTGGTTTCATTTTTTCCTCCTAGTGCTAGTAAAAAAAAAAAAAAAAAAGGGCCTATACTAAACTAATGCTCCACTAGCAAGCAATATTCCTAGCACTTGCAGTTATTTTCTAATTCTTTAGATTGCTTAAAAATATCTAGAATTTAGTACACATGTTTGGTTTTGAGGTTTCTTACTCATACTTCAGGACTTTTGAGAAAAAATTCTTCAGAGTTTTAGTTTTAAACTGTATTTGAATCTTAACTTACCAAAGGTTTTTAGTCTGAAGTATAAACTGAATTCTCTTTGGTTTAAAATTGATTTTTAACTTTTATGGGAAGCTAGATAATTTAGTGTTGTAATCGTCTTACTTTGTCTTTCTCTGTAGCCTTTTTTCCTTCTGCACGTGAATACAGAACTGATACGTGTTAAATGACTTGTAATACACATGGTCATGCTGTGCACAAGCCATCTAGTTCAACTGCCTGGAATACCCTTCCTTAAAAACCTCTTCTGAATTACTTGGGCTTCCACTTAAATTTAGTACCTTGACAGCCAACTGAGGTTATGTCTCTATCTTTTCTTGAAGCAAAAAAACTCCTTGAGGGCAGCAACCCTGTGTATCCAAAAAGTTCAGACCAGTGTGTTGTACAAATTAGATGTTGAGTGAATTTGAATCCCTGTTATTTCTGGCTTTGATGAGTAGTGTTTGAAATTAGCTCCTTTTACCTATGAAAGAAAGTTTAGTTAAACCAACTGGATTTCGGGAGGATTTTTCATTAATTAGGAAAATAAATTCTTCAAGTATTCTGAGGTAATTGGGAGCTTTCATGTACGTATCAATTTTGCCTGCTCTCATCTTCAGGAGGCAGAATTTCACTAGTTTCTTAGTCTAAAATGTTTTAGTATATTTCTTAAGGTAATTTGGGGAGTTGCTGTTTAAATAATAGTTGTAGTACTGTGAGGTCATCTTTTATTTCTGATTTTTCTATGATGACAAGATCATCATCAAATATAATTTGTTTCATGAAAGATGAATAGTAGTTCTCTTTTCCATACCTTATTCTGTGGCTGTTTAATCTAAACCAATGTGTTCCCAAAAGCCATCTGTTTATAAATATTAAGTCTGTTCTTCTTACATAGGATGGAGTTACTGTCCATTTTTAGAATAGTTATTTTTGGATGATTTAGGTAAACTGGAATGTCTTTCTGTCCTCCTCTTTTCCGCATTGTCAGTGTCTCTTCAATCCAATGTATATTAATCTACTTTTTAGCCCCAAAGTGGGGCTCTATTTTAAGTGAATTGAATATTTCTCTTCAGGAGTGGTCACTTTCCGATTTATTTGGAAGTGTTTAAAAATAAAAAATTTCTGCCTGTAAGGATGACAACAGCTGCTAGTAACACAAAAGCACGTACTGTGAATGCACTGTAACTCGGAAGAATTTTAAACATACAAAGTCTTGGTTGTTACACATAGTGATTTTCTGCAGCAATTTTTATTTAAAAAGAAGAAACTGGCTTTGTCCTCTATGAATCTGAGCTTTGTGTTGTCTATACATTGCTCCTGGTTCACTGGTTATGCTGCCTATGATGACATTTTTCTGTTGCAGTCGGCGAGGCTCTGGCCTGGGCAAAAGAGGAGCAGCTGAGGCTCGGAGGCAGGAGAAAATGGCAGACCCTGAAAGCAACCAGGAGACAGTAAATTCTTCAGCTGCTCGGACAGATGAAGCTCCCCAAGGAGCTGCAGGTAGATTGGCATTTCTTAAAACATATTTCTCTTATATATATTTATTTAGACATAATTATTTTTTACCTGAATATGATGAAATGAGAGGAACATAGTATGCTGAATGTTACCATTAAATAAATTTTGTTCAAATTTGTTTTACAATATAGCCTTAGTATTTAGATTAATGGGTTTGCCATTTTAAAATTCCCATCCAGCCCAAGTTTGTACAAATAATATTCAAAGGGCTGTCAGGAGGTATTAATTCATTTCTGTTAAAGCTTTTTACATATTGACTAGTGCTTATTGATTGAAAGAATTTAAATTCATAATAAATGAAAACGAGAGGATACGGCTTGAATTACTTTATAAATAAGTGAATTTTAATTTAGAATTTTGTAACCCCTAAAAAATAAGTGTTCCATTTGCACCTAACCTATTTTAATAATAGTATTTAGATTTTTATGGGCTTTTAAAATTTCTTCTTAAACTCTTAGAACAATTAAGGTGCTTTTTTTTTTCACCCCTTGATTTAACTTTAAATGTGTAACCCTTGCCATTACCAAAACAAAGCTAATACTCTTAGCTGTTAAATGTGGCTACTCAGTTTTAAAATGTAGTTTATCATTGATGTTTCTTACCAGATAACAAAAATCTTATGAGTCCCTTAAATCAATGTTATGTATACAGGTTTAGATTTAGATAGCTACCCACTTTGAACAAAGGTATTTCATGTACTGTGTTTTAATATTAGAATGTGTGTGTGTGTGTGTGTGTGTGTGTGTGTGTGTGTGTGTGTGTGTTGCTTTTGTTACTTGGAATTGGACCCAGGAGTGCTTTACCACTGACTGAGCTATATCCCCGGCCCTTTTTATTTTTTATTAAATTGTTTAGGGCTTCACTGAGGCTGGCCTGGAACTTGCATCCTCCTGCTTCAGTCTCCTAGGTTGTTGGGATTAGAGGCGTGCAACACCATCCTCCTCCTGGCTATTCTAGTTTTCTTTCATGCCTGTGGTGGTCATATTTCATAATGATTTGCTAGGAGCATTCTGGTTTACCCACTACTGTTGTCTTGTCCTGTCTATCTTAGCACTTTTTCTTTTTTCTTTTTTTGAGTCATTACTCTTTTCCAGTTTGTACAATAAATTACATGGTAGGCTAATTTACAGGATATCTTCTTTGGGGAGATAATTTTTTTTTCTCATAACTTTTCCCTAGAAGAGTCTGAATTGATAAATATTTGGAAAAATAGAGGCCATTTCATGTGGAGTTCATTGAAGCCAGTCATGTTTTCTTCCCTATGTTGTACACTTTTGAGTCTTAGTGTTTATTTCAAGTCTATATATGGAAGTGGGGGCATTTCCAAAATGAATGACAGAAATGGAGCTGCTGAATGTGGCGTTGTTACATTAGACTCTTTACATTAATTACCATAGCTAACATTTATGGAGCATACGCTCTATTGCAGGCACAGTATTAAACACTATTCATATATTCTTGTTTACTATTCAAAAGAACCTGGTGAAATTTGAGTGCTGTTATTGCCATTTTATAAATGGGGAAAAACTGAGGTGCATTCAAGTTAAGCTTACCTAGTTTTACAAGTTAGGATATGTGACTCTCAAATCCAGATCTTAGAAATCAACTGCACATTTATAACAGCTGTCTTTTCCCTGGGGGGTTATAAGAGTTTAATTCATATGGATGTAATTGAAGGCTAGAGTGAGGGGGGATATAGTGTAAACTTTTGTTCCCTGGTATATTATCTAAGAATAAAAGCTTCAAGTGAGTCAGGATAATCAGCTGACTTCCTAAATACTTGAATGTATTTCACTTCCATTCATATTTGAAATTGCAATGTGATATAGGTATTTTTCAAGTTTATGTATTGTTTCTGCTGATAAAAGATACGTGTGGGGTGGTCACTGCTGTTAGAGGATCAGTGGCTAGACATTTGATGGGTCCCTTTCGGATTGTAGGAATTCCTCTGTTGGCTGAATAAAGTATTTATGGGGAAAGGAGTGAATTACTTATCAGCTTCACGTTAATTCTTCCATGTATTATGCTTTAGTTTCTCTGTGTATGAAGTATAAAAATCAAGCTTCTAAATTTGTGTAGAGTATAGGTTTGTGCTTTTGACTTTTAGACTACCATTTGATGAGCATCCAGTTCTCAGACAATGCTTCATCAGTTGGTATGATACTCCCTTCCAAACAATAAAATAGCAGGGAAAAATCGGCATTGTTTTGCTTATCTGTTCTTTTGCTTTAAGAATCTTCATAATTTCAAAAGAAATGATCAGGGTCAAATCATAAAATAAAAATCAGCCTAGTTTTGCAGACTTTTCTCCTCCTAATTACTTTTATTTAGTATCACTACAAATGTCATGACTTTTCTCCTCCTAATTACTTTTATTTAGTATCACTACAAATGTCATTATGTCATGACCATTTGGACCTGTTGATGGAGCCCATGATAAGGAATCATTACATTCCTATTGCCATTTCTCTAGTTTTATGACACTAAGGGGGTGGCATGTGTTGCCTCCCTTACTTACACATTTGGTAAATGTTTGCAGTTCCTAGCAAGTAAAATCAAATTTCACAGCTTTTTAATATTTTGTCTTTCTTTCTGTGAAAGAGGTGCCATTGGTTAAAGTATTAAAATTTGGAGTTTTTTGATAGAATTTTTTACATTGCTGCCTTCTAATTATACATAATAATAGTATTCATTATTCCATATTCAAACTTGCACAAAGCTATTTCATCAATGTAATCCCAAGTATATGTTAGAATTTTTGTGTTCTGATTTAAACAATATTTTCTCAATTGTTTTCATTGAAGTATTTATTGTAAACCATAGTTCTGTGAAGATATGGTAGGACTAGATGGGAGACTACCTGGTTTAAGGAAAAAGAAAGATCAACCATCCTGAAAATCCAGTTATAGTCATAGTTTAACATTTGACTTTGGGGACAGATTTGTACATGTGCTCAAGGAGGTTTAAAGTAAAGACTAAAAACTTTGTAATTGACTCTTTTTTGATTGATCACATTTTCTTATCTATTGGTCTTCACATAACAGCTACCTCTGCTCTTAACTCAAACTAGCCATGTCTTTGGACTAATTTGTCTAATTTTTAACAATATGCACAAAAGGAACAACCATGGGTAAATATTTTACACTTGCCATCAAAAGGGTTGACAGAAGGATCCTTTTCTTTGCTTCTAGTAATTAATTTCTGTCAAGACTGGTACCGCCCCCCCTCCCCACACACATTTCCACTGAAAAACAACCAGCTCTGCCTCTTTTTGTAGTGGTTCTATGGCTGCACTAAAGATTGCAACTCCACTACACTAGAACCTTACCAGCTCTTTATTATGTGCTTTTATAATTTTATGTCTTGGTTAATTAATGTCTTTGTGGCACTGCAATTTGAGATATTCATTATGAAAGTCATAAGTATGTTTTAACGAGTAAGGTAAAGTAGAAATCTTTAATGTATGTAAATCTGCAGGACATTTTAAAGTAACACCTAATAAGCCCTCCGGTTAAAACAAAACAAAACACCAAAAACTTTAAAAAAACCAACATTCCCTTAGTGAGGTTTTGGTGGAGTTTTTTGGTTTGCTTTTTAATGTATGGGTTCCAGAGAATGCCTAAAAAACCAACCATTTCGTTTATTAAAACTTTGTATTTGCTTTCCACATGCCAGGAAGAGTCACTTTAATAAACTCAATCATTATTGGTACCTAATACCAGTATTTGTTAACAGGGGCTCTGTATAATGTGAAGAAACAACTGTATTTGAATTAAAAATTACTGCTGAAGAGTATGTTATGGATCTTAAGAGTACAGTCAGTGAAGTCAGACTGTCTGGGTTCAAATCTCTGGTCCATTTGGAGTTCTCTGATTTGGGCAAGTACACTCAAAGTCAAAAAGCCTCAGTTTCATATGCATGATGAATCTTACACCACTTTCTATATTGTGAGGAGATATTTAGGCGATTTCTATAGACAGTAAGCATTTTATAAATGTTGCCTATAAGTGGCATCATACAGTGCAGTTACTGGATAATCTCCTTTTTCTTCACCAGCAGTATGGATTTTGCCAAACATGATACCCTTTAACATTAGCATTAGCATTAGCATTTCGGGTTAACCTACAGCTCTAAACCATGAAGTTAACATTTTCTCTAAGTGGCAAGACAAGTGTTTTAGACTTGATATGGTTTTTGTTACATTTACTCACTTCTATGATTGTGTCATGAAAGCAGCCACAGGCAGTATGTCAACAAATGAGTACAGTTATATTCTAATAACTCATATGCACAGAACCTTGTGGTGGACTGGATTTGGCCTTTGGGACATAGTTTGCTGACCTTTGTTCTTTTTAATACATAAATTTTTCTAAAAATTTTTTGAAATCTCACTGAAGTTATAGAAAATACTCAATGGTATGTGAAGAAAGGTATAAAAATTCAGAGTTGGTGATTGGTGGGTGCATTGGCATCTTTTTCTTCAGAAAAGCTAATCTTAAATTTCACTTTCATTATACCTCTTTAAAATAGTCTTTCTGGTTTGCATTCTGTCACTCTTAAACGGGGCTTTTAAGGTACTATGAATGATGTGGTTTTTATTTATGTAGATCAGTCATTTGTTTAAAAAGACTTAGGACTCAGCAGACTCGTGAAGGTACAGCGGGCTGCTAGTTGTGCAGGAACATAGTTTCATTTTTGGTCAGTTATAATAGAATTCACTTCTGTTAGCATATGCTGGTCTTTTTTTTTTTTTGGTTAGCATTTTGTGTAGTAGTATCCTTCTCAGTCTTCATTCTGTACTAAGTGTTTATCTTAGTTGCCTTCTCTTCTGTGCTTCATAGCAATGGTTTGCAGCCATCCCTTAGTGATAGTACATATTTCCAGTATTTTGTCCTAGAAATAAGAATATGTAATAGTTTTGCATTACTGAAATTAGAACAGATAAATTATTGTTAGCTATTTATGATACGTCACAGTGGTCTTAGCAATGTTTACCTTAATTGACTTCTATTAGAGGAGTCCAGGATAAGACTTAATTCAAGAGCAGTTTCAAAGGCATGAGGACACTGTCAAAAGCCATGTGTGAATAAAATGCAAAGTTTATATTTTTATACTTGTTTAATGCTAAAGTAGTTGAGTGCTGCTTTTATTTCTAAGTGTTATAGAATGATGTCTAGAATAGCTGAGTACAATAGAAAGGCAAGTTTAATTGAGTTTATTTATTGTAGTCTGTAAAACTTTGGGTTTTCTTTCTTAAAATAAGCCAGACATAATGAGTTTAAATGCTCCTCTCCTAACCTCACCTTCCCCTTCCCCCAAGCCTCTAGTTCTGTTGCAGGGGCTGTTGGCATGACCACCTCTGGGGAGAGTGAATCAGATGATTCCGAGATGGGACGATTACAAGGTAAAGACAGTCGTTGAGCCTACAAGAAAGAGTTTCAATGGACTCTTAGTTACTACTGTTTTTTACTGAAATTAGTTCACATATGTTCAATTGAATATTATTTAGCAGTGCCTACTCCCCTTAGTGGTGATTTGATGATTTGGATTCAGAAGATAAGCTATCTGCATCTTTAATTTTACCATGTAACTATAGAAACCCCATTTTTTTGGTTGTTTTCCAAAATTGTCTTTATGATACTTGTGCAATTGGTTTTAATAAAAATCACAAATAGTATATTGTTACTCCTTGGGGGGAAAAAGCTTAATATATTGTTCCATTGAACATAATATTATAAATACATAATTGTTAATAGATGCCAGATGCATTCTTAATGTATCTACGAAGGTAGGTATTTTGGTTTTGTTTTGTGTTTGCCAGGATCTTTTTTTCTCTTTGATCACCTATTTTAAATAAGTTGTATAGTAGTATATAAATAAATTCCAGATTTTTTATGTTATAGGAGCTTAAAAAAGTTACATTATAACTAGATGGCTATATATTTTTATCTCAGGGACTTGACTTTATAATCTCCAGTGTGAGGCTTACATTTTAAGAAACATCGTTTTTAAGTCAGTTTCAGGTTGCTTTTACATTCCTAAGGAAATAGCAAGGAGTAGGATTCTCGTGAACACTTAAATTTTCAGGTGACAAATGTCTTTAGATCATGAGATCAACATCTGATTGGGGAATAATGTCAGAAGGAAAGTGGGGCAAAGGTGTTTAAAGTATAACTTCAAAATAGATATGATATGACATTGGGTTTTTCTTGGACTATTAACACAGTTCCTGTTGGCACTGAGCTTTTAAAATTCTCCATAAAACTTTAAGATAACTTGAAGTTTGCACATGTATATTTTATGTTAATTATATTAATTATGAGGGTGGTCTTGGAAGTTTAATGTAGCCTCTCTTAAAATTCAGAATGGAAAGTGACATTGACTAACTCAATTATGTGAGATAAATCAGTTGCTTGACATTCTTAGGTAAGATCAGTTGCATTAAATCAACTCAATTACTCCCCCCCATCCCTGCCCTTCTTTTTTCTTTAGCTCTGTTAGAGGCCAGGGGTCTTCCTCCTCACCTGTTTGGTCCTCTTGGTCCTCGGATGTCACAACTTTTCCATAGAACAATTGGAAGCGGAGCTAGTAAGTGCATAACTAACTTTAAATTTTTTCCTCCCTTGAAACCTCTTTATTAGTTAAATGCTGTTTTTACTATTGATGTCAATAAGTATGAGGAAGTTTTAAATTTTCATGAAGTTTATTTTTTAAAATAGGGCACGTGCACGCACTCACTTTAAATATAGCATCTATTATATTTTCTTCTGTACTTTTATTTTTGATTGCTAAATCAGAATCATTAAAAACTAGCCAGATTTTATAGGAAGAGTGACTCAATTTGAACTGTATAAAAGTAAAGAATTTATATTGAGTAGCAATGGCATTTGATTGCACAGTTTTAATTCCATTTTTTTATGGTTTAATAAACTGAAGCCTGTAAGACAGTTAAGATATAATATGAACCTGAAAGATTTTTAGCAGAACTCTGGTCACTACACTCATACCAGATTAATGTTTTTTAATCCATTGTAGTGAGTGACTCTTGAAGTCCCAATTTTAGTAACAAAGAGCAGTTAAAATTACAAATCAAGTTATTTTTATTTCAGAGTATTATCTTTAGCTTCCTTAAAATTTATGTTTTATTTTTGTTAGAATTTCATCGATAGTGTTCCCATAGAATCAGGTTAATTTATAGACTTAAGTCTTGCTTAACTTCAAAATTCCTGAAGTGTTATTGAAGCTTATTAGCTCTGACCTTATTAATATGTGCCTTTATAATTTGTGTCAGATGTTTCAATTTTTTTTTAAGGCAATGAAATGTGTGTACCTGCTTTTTTCAGTTTCTGGCCTTAATATTTGACAAGGAAATTTAAGAAGCAGCTGGTATTTTTGTTTCTGTTTTGTTTTGCTTTTGCCACCCTGACACTCAAATCTCAGATAATATATCCTCTTGTAAAGTTGTTATCAACTCTTGAACATGGATATTAATTTACTCTATTTGGGAGGGGTAGGAATGTACTGAATCATAAATAAGATAAGCAGAGCTATTTCTCCCTGAAGCTTCCATGCTAGAGCGTGACCCTGGCAACTAACAATTACTATATAGTAAAATTTCAGAGACTTAAGTGAGGAAACCAACCATGCACAGGTCTGAGGGAAAGAATATGTGCAACCCTAAATCCATCAGTAATCACTAATTCATGGCAATATTGACATCATTAATAGCCTGAAGATTAGTTTTAATTAAGTCCTAGGCATTATTTAATCTGCTTATATTTGAATTTATAACTAAAAATAAGCTTATATTTAACATAACCACAGTGTTTTCTTTTTTAAGAAAAAAATATTTACTAAGTTCAAATATCTCCATCCTTATAAATTCATAGGAAATTTTGTTTCATTGAATCTGGATCAAAACCCAATTTATACATTGCATTCAGTTAATGTTTAAGTTTTTTTATTAATAGAAATGTTATTTTTTTTTTAAAAAACATTTATTTTTAAGTTGTATTTGGACACAATACCTTTATTTTATTTACTTTTATGTGGTGCTGAGGATCGAACTCGGGGCCTTACATGTGCCAGGCGAGCACTCTACCTCTGAGCCACAACCCCAGCCCAGAAATTTTATTTATTTTACCACTTCATATACTACTTGGAAGAAGAGTGATCACAGGTCCTACATATTAAACATCTCAAATTCATGTTTAGGGTTAATTATTACACATGAAATTAAACCATAGATTGGAATTGGGGGATCAGTGTCTTTTCTCTTTGTGCCCTTGACCTGGCTTCAGCAAGGCCTAGCTCATGTTTAATATTTAGTTTATTCTTACCCATATCCCTGCTCCCATATTGGTTTGAAATGAATCGCAAATGTTATATATTTTTATCTGTAAATATATCATCATGTAGCTCAAGGGTACCTACTGCTCCTTGAATTAAACATACGCCCAGGCACATACACAGGTTACTTTTATCACACTTAAATAATTCCTTAATAGATGCACAGTGTCAAACTTCTATTGTTTAGAATGTCTTAAATATTTCTTGGAAATTGGTAGTTTTGGGGGCTTTTTCAGATTTGAGTGTAATCCTTCTCTCCCAACGGAAAAAAGGCTATTCAAAAGTGATAGTATACTCTTACATTAGAACTGCATGTCTGATTGTCTCTTAACAAGCTCTTGAAACTCAGTTTCAAGGTAACAAGGGTTAAAAGAATGGTGATACTTTAGGTTGAATAAATACTCTTCATTTATGAGAAGTAAAGCAACTTAGTAGAAATACATAAAAGAATATCTTTCCCTTATTTTCTATTTGCTTATTTAGGAGTATAGTCAATATTAGAAAAATTACTTTTCCCCCTTTATTTGCCAATTTTCAAAATAGTGGTTTGTATGTCTTCTACCAATGCCAAGGCTTTTTTGTGGGGTGGGGGTGGATGGAGGGTGTACTATTATAAACAGTGGTTGAGACATATTTTAGATATTTCGTTGAGTTTTACTGATTCTTAAATTGTCTCATCATTGGATGATGGGATCATTTTGTGAGGTACAGAATGCACCAGGTTCAGCTGACTTATTTTCCCCCAATCCCTGAAATAGAGCTCTTGCTACAAACTCTTGGTTTCTTTTTGTATGAAATTGTATTTAAAGATCACAATCTGGACATATTGCTACTGGATTGAACATTATTAGTAAACTTTTAATGGAATCTCGGAAATAATTGTATTTTTAAACACTCCCCCCCCCCACAAGTTTATATTGATAAAGATGATTCAGATTTTGGGCTGAAGTGATGAAGGGTTTTTATTTATCTTAAGTGATGTTATCTCTCCATTCTCCGTGCTAAAAGTTTTTATTGCCCAATGGTAATTACATTGTGACCCATTTGCTTTACCCCACACCAACTTAGTAAGATTCCAAAAGAATTATTAATGAGAAAGTTGTAACAATTTTTTAATAGTTCTTTTGGTTCTTGAAATATAAGAATACTTGTGGTCAGCTTTTTGTCCTGTATAGTCACTTATTATGATTCCTGTGTTTGTTTATGCCACCAAGTGATTTGGTTCATCTGCCATTTATCTTTCTTTCTTTTTGGTATTGGGAAGTAGACCCAGTTTGCTTTACCTACTGAACTTCATAACCAGCCCTTTTCATTTTTTATTTCAAAACAGGGTCTCACTAAGGTGCCCTGGTTGGCCTTGAGCTTGCAATTCTTGCTTCAGCCTCCATATTGCTGTGATTACATGTATGTGCCACTATGTGTGGAGCTTTGATTTTAAGGGATTACTTTTTAAAATTTAATTTTGCTTTTATAATTGTGTAATAATTTACATGGTTTTAGAATTCAAATTTACAAATAAGGTATATTCAGAAATTCTTTTGCTGTCTCTTTTCCCTCTCTCCTCCTTCCACATATCAACCGTTTAAAATGTACGGCTTGTCCTTCTATTAATTTAAACAAAAAATCCTTATTATCCACTCCTCACATACTGTCTCTCTTAGATAAGAGAAGTAAGCTTTATAGATTCTCTCTAGCTCCTCATATATTGAGGGCAAGAATGAGATTCCCAATTCCTTTTGTAAAACTGTCATATTACTTCATTATTTGGAAGTACATAGTTTAATTTGACCAAATCTCCCATTATTAAACATTTGGGTTATTTCCAGGTATGTTTGTTGTTTGCTGTTGATGTTTTTTTTTTTTTTCTCCATGCTGCAGTACAATAGAGTTTTTGCATTTTTTTTTCTTTTATTCAGACTGGATTTTCAGAAGCAACTTGGAAGTGAGTAAATGCACTGCACTAACAATTTTGGTAGATGTTGTAAACTTGCACTATTGGAATTGTACCCCCCAATTTTTTTGTTTCTACAGTAATGGGTGACAACTGTATGGTGTCACACTTTTGGATATATGTTTTTAAAATTTTATTTACTTATGGAGTCGTACTGGGATTTGAACTCAGTGGTGCTTTACCACCGAGCTACGTCTTATCCATTTTTTGAGACTTGGTCTAAATTGCCAAGGCTGGCCTTCAACTTACTAGTCTGCTTTAGCTTCCTGAGTTGCTGGAATTTCACTGTACTCAGCATTTTTTTAGATTTTTTTCAAATGTACAGGTGCAAAATGGTAATTTATAGTTTGAGATTAATCAAATATTTTTAATAATTTTTTTCCTCTTTGATTAACTTTTCTTTGAATATTTCTTTAAGTAGTTACCCAAGAGATTATAATACATATACTTGTTTATTATAGCCTGCATTAAATTAATACTTTATCATATCCCAAACAGTGCAAGAACATGTATCCATCTTTCATATTGCTGTTTAAATTTGTTAGACTTATATACATACTAGAAACTTGATAAGGCATAATTTTTGTTTTAGACATCCATATTCTTTTATTTGTTCTTTGCAATGCAAATTCCTTCTCTGTTCCTTTCTTATCTCAAGAATTGTTTCCCTCTAGCTTGAAGAGCTTTTTTTTTTTTTTTTTCAAATAATGCAGGATTGCTAATAATTTCTCTCTGGTTTTGAGAAATTCTTAATTTTCCTTAATTATTAAAGGATATGTTCCTCAGGTGTAAAAATTCTCATCACTATGGAAGGCTTATGTAGTCTCTCTTTAGCAGCCTTGTTGGTCTTTAAAGTCAGTATCTTTTTCCCCTCTGACTTTTTTTTTTTTTAATGGTTTGACTATGCTAGGATGAGGTGACTTTTCATTGACACTTAATTTGCTTGGGCTTTGTAGCCTGTGAATATGAGATTTCGCATTTTTATTAATTTTGGAAAAGTTTTGGCTGTTATTATATCAAACATTGTTTGGTTTTCATTAGCTATTTTTTAAAAAAATTAGGTTCTCCTTTTTCTCTTTTTATTCTTTTCTTTTTCTTAGGTGTAGATGGATACAACACAATGCCTTTATTTTTATGTGGTGTTGTGGTTCCAACCCGGGTCCCACCCAGGCTACACGATTGCTTACCGCTGAGCCACAATCAGTCGCAGCCCCTTCATTAGCTTTTAAACTATTCTACTTTGCTTTTAGGAGTATCAAGATCATACGTGCTCAGACTCTGGACTTTATCAACCAACTTGTTTTTTTGGCTGTGAGATTTTTTTTTCTCTGTCCAGTAGCTGTTGACCATTTTCAAATTCAGTAATTTTTTTTTCTGCTGTCATCATCTTTTGTTAAACCCATCAGTGAGTTCTTAATTTCAGGTGTTTTTTTTTTTTTTTTTTAATTTTAGGCAATGCTTTCATTATTTCATTGTAGGTTCTAGTAGTGTTTAAATTCCATATATTGTTATTCCCAACCCCTTTTGTTATTTATTTTGAGACAGGATCTTACTCAGTTGCCCACGCTGGCCTTGAACTTGGATCTTCCTGCCTTAGCTTCCCTAGTAGGGAATTGTAGGTGTTCACTACTACAATTGACTTTGTCCTTTAATTCTAATATTGTTCTTTTATTTTCTCTGTCCACCTCTTGATCTCAGTTCCACATTCCTAGTTCTTCATAAATCTACATTTTATACAAAAGAACTGAAGAATTCCCCATATGATATCTTCTGCCAATGATGGTTTCCACTTTCTCTCTTTGAAAAATAAAGGGTCATAAGCTCATCACTCTTAACTCGAATTTATTCAAGACTTGAGTTTATTTTTAACAGAATTGCAGTTTTGGTGTGACTCATTTCACCTGTGGCTCATCAATGTTTGGTGGGGCCCTCCCAGGATTTTTTTTCTAGAAACTTATAAATCTTTGTGTGCTCAGGGGCTTAAAAATATAACAGATATCTTGGGGGGGGGGATCTGGTACTATCTGTGTGCATTTGAAGAAGGCGGCCTCTGACTCTTGAGAATACAGATTTTTTTTTTCTTCTGTTTAAAATCAAAATGTTTTATGTAGCCCCTGTTCCTTTACATAGTTTCAGAACTCAGCAAATAAGTCTGGTGGGGTAGGTTCAATTCAATATGTTAGGCTACTTTGATAGGATTCAGCAAACTATTGCCCAACTGCCAAATCCAGCCTCCTGCATTTTTTTTTTTAATATAGCCTGTGAGTTAAGAATTTACATTCTTAAATGGCTAAACAATAATATTTAATTTGTGTCATGTGAAAATTAAAGTAAAATTTCAGTGTCCTTTAAGTTGTTTTGAAACATAACCACATTCTTTTGTTTGCATATTGTTCATGGCTGCTTTTGAACCAGGAGTTGAGTAGTTGCAGTAGAGAGTATATGGCCTGCAAAGTCTAAAATATTCTGGCCCTAGATAGGAAATATTTGCTTGCTAACTCTTAACCTACAGTAGTGTTTCTCAAAGTGTGGTCTCAGTTTTTGAGTGAGGTTCTATGAAATCCTTGTATGGAGTAAGGTGAAAACTAGTAATAGTAATTATTTAAGTTTATCTTTTTCTACTTTATTGATGTTTAAATTAATTGTGTAAATGTATGTTGAGTAAAATTACTGGTAACATATAAGAATAAAAGTAGTGGCTCCAACCTGTCCTCACAGTCATTGTATTCTTCAGTAAGAGATTGAATGTAGTTGTTTATTGCCACTCCTAGTTAAAATAATAATAATAATAATTCTAGTTTTACTCAAGGATATTCTTGAAGAAAGTTAAATAACTGAGTTAGGTCTTTATTTGTGAATTCATGTTGTTTTAATAATCTTTGTGACAGAATGGTGGCTAGTTTTTTATAGATTTCATCTCAAATAGCATCTCCACAGATTGAGTTTAGAAGTAGAGTTGAGAACCTGGTTGTCATTAACATTAGGATGTCATTAACATTAAGCTTAACATTAAGATGATTTGCTACAGATATCCAATGATGCCATCTTCTATTTATTTAATTTTTTTTTTTTTTTTGTACCAGGGATTAATCTCAGGGGCACTTAACCACTGATGCACATCCCCAGCCCCTTTTATATTTTATTTAGAGACAAGGTCTCACTGAGTTTGTTACAGCCTTGTTAAGTTGCTGAGACTGGTTTGAACTTGAGAGGTACCTCAGCCTTCCAGGCCCCTGGGATTACAGGCATGTGCCACTGCACCTTGCCTGTTTATTGTTTTAATATTGTCATTTTCCACATAATTTTAAGAGTATAAAATGGCACTACATCCAAAATATACTGATATCAGTTGGATTTGCTTTACATATTAGAGAATATATTCTTTTAGTTTTGGCTTTCTTTTATTTTCAATTTGGCATGTGTTGTTTTTATCTCATGGTATTGGGTGATATTGGTCTTGTTAAAGAGTTTCATATACTTTGAATTACCAGCCCAGATATAAGACCCCTGTTGAAGGGCATTGTGTCATTTTTTTTCCATTTTAGATGGTTGTGCTGTTTAAGATACACTTAATATGAATTTCTTCATCCTTTTAAAGTGAATTTTGAAGCATCTTAGTGCCCCTCCCCTTCACATAAACACAAAAATAACTGGAAGTAGAGTATACTCTAACTGTAAGTACTTTCAGATCAACACAAGACAGGTAGTCAACAGTAATTATGGAATTCATTAATAGTCACAGTCTTAAATAATAGAGAAAACACATCTTCCAAGGATCACCATGTGCACTTTTTAATCTCCCCTGCAAAATTACTGAAGCTTAATTACAGTAAGAAACTTTAGGCTTTGTTGTGAATTACAAATTGGTTATCAGTATCCCTCAAATATCCCCCTAAAATTCCAAATTCTTTGCATTTAAACACTTACAATATGGAGTAGAAAAACCTGATAAAGAGTGAAAAGGTATAAGAAAAGAAAGGGCTTGAAACATCAACTTTAGGCTTGGTAAACATTAATTGGAATTAATTATGGTTTCATGTAGGAAAATGTCTGTGAAAAGTGAAATGGCTTTTTGACTGTCTTATTAAGCTTATTGACAACTCATTTCTCAGTGGTATTTGAGTCTCAGTTTTTGCCAATTGTTTGGTTAATGAAATTGTGTCTTAAAATAGGAAATACTCGATAGCCAGAACCTACACATGAAATGAGAGAAGATGTCAAGGCTATTTTGATGTTTTTACAGAATCCTTTGTTCTTTCTCACTCTTCTTTGTTAGATGTATTATTCTATTTGTCTTTATTTTCTTGCCCTTTTTTCTGTTGCTTGTATCCCATTTATTTTGGTGGCACATATTTAGAGGAATATAATGTTTCCTTTGAAGTCTTGGTTTTTATTATTGCAGAAAGCTTTTACTTGGTTTCTTATTCCTTTAAAAGTAGGTGTATTAAAGTTATCAGGTCATAGTATTTGTTTTTGCTGTTAAAAAAACTAATGAGCTTCTTTCAATCAAATGACAAAAAAAAAATTGTATGAATACCAAATAAGGTAGAACAGATCCAACTAATTTGATTCTTCTTTGACTATGCTAGTAGTGTGTATTGACCTATAATAGACCTAGCCTTTAGTTGCAATCCAAGGAAGATAAATCAGCCACTTATCAGTTAGTCACACCTTAAACTAAGCAATACTTTCCTTAAATGTTTAAAGATAATTTTTTTTTTCCACCTGAAGGTTCTAAGGCCCAGCAGCTTCTTCAAGGACTACAAGCCAGTGATGAAAGTCAGCAGCTTCAGGCAGTGATTGAAATGTGCCAGCTGTTGGTCATGGGAAATGAGGAGACACTGGGGGGGTTTCCTGTTAAGAGTGTCGTTCCAGCTTTGGTAAGCATATGATGTCCCTTTGTTTCATCTTAATTGTCCTGTGAAGGTTCTTGAGCTTATTGTCATTATAATTTTAAAACATGATAGAACTAAGAGGAGTCTGTGCGTAGGTACTTTTATCTTGTGCTTGTAGATATTAGGAATGATGGCTAATGGTAACTTAATGAAAGTTTTTTTTCTTTTTTTCTTGTTTTGACGTTCTGGGGATGAAACCCAGGGTCTTGAACCTGGTAGGCAAGTGCTCTACTAGACTATTTTTTGATGAAGTTGCTTGATATTTGATAATGACTGGCTTTCCATTTTTAAATTGTTAATCCTGTCAATAACACCTTGACTCTTACTGTGTTACTGGGGGTACCAGGGATTAAACTCAGGGGCACTCAACCACTGAGCCACATCCCCAGCCCTATTTTGTATTTAGAGACAGGGTCTCACAGAGTTGCTTAGCACTTCACCATTGTTGAGGCTGGCTTTGGACTCTTGACCCTTCTGTCTCAGCCTCCTCAGCCACAGGGATTATAGGCATGCGCTACCACACCTGGCTAATAGTGTAAGCTTTTTGTTTTAACCTCCTGATCTATGGGGCAATAATAACAAGAAACTCACTTTGGGTTATCTTTGTGGACAGGAAAGGTTTAGTGTTTGGTAAGTATGTGCATGACAACAGTGGACAAGCCAGTATTGCCATATAGATCCTTCCAGTTTAAAAGGCTTTCATTTTTAAAAAGGTTTTATGTTAAGAGGGAAAAAAAAGACCTTTTTAAAAAAGTATATTAAAAAAGTTTATATTGGTTCATGATTCTGGAAGTCCAACATCTAGGGACTAGGGACTACATCTAGTGATGGCCTTTTTGTTAAGAGTCTTGAGGAGAGACAGGAACCACACTTATCTTTTCTGGTCATCCTCCACCCTCCATTTCTTTTATTGATGCATTAAAGTTGTATATTATGACATGCACACAGTATTACAAGATAATTTGTCCAATATCATTCCCCAGTATATCTCCTTTCCTTCTTCTCCCCCCTCTACTTCCCGTCCCTTTACTCTACTGATCTCCCTTTGATTTTTATGAGACATTCCTTATCCCCTTTCCTTTTTCCTCTTTAGCTTCCATATATGAGAGAAAACACGACCTTTGACTTTCTAAGTTGGGCTTATTTCAGTTCTACTCATTTTCCTACAAATTAAAAAAATTTATCTTTTGGCAGAATAAAATTCCATTATGTATATATGCCACATTTTCTTTTTTCATTCATCCATCAGTGGACACCTAGTTTGGTTCCATAGTTTGACGATCAAGAATTGTGCTGCTGAAAACATTTATGTATGTATTGCTATAATATGCTGACTTTAGTTCTTTAGGGATAGATACTGAGGAGTGGTATAAATGGCTCATACGGTGCTTCTATTTGTAGTTTTTCTGAGGAATCTCCATACTGATTTCCATGCTGCTCTTACTAATTTCCAGTTCCACTGATAGTGTGTTCCTTTTTCTTTGTTAATTTTTTTTCCTGTCCTATTTAGTGTTCCTTTTTTTTAAAAAAAACAAAACAAAACAAAACAAACATCTCTTCAGCTTTTATTATTGTTTGTTTTCTTTATGGCTGCCATGCTGACTGGAGTGAAATGTCATCACAGTATAGTTTTGATTTATATTTCCCTCGTCGCTACGGATGTTGAACAATTTTTTCATATATTTCCTGGCCATTTGTATTTCTTTTGAGAAGTGTCTGTTTAATTTCTTTGCCTAGTTATTAATTGGGTTGATTGGAGGCCGGGGGGTATAACCTTTGAGTACTGTATTTCGGATACTCTGCAGAAGAGTAGCTGGGTAATTGGCAAAACCCTATCAAAGGGTTGGGGATGGTGTTGCTAAGTATGTAGCTCAGTGGCAAAGTACCTATGGGTTCAGTCCCCAGTAACAAAAAATGGATGAATAAAGCAACAAAGACCTGAGCTAACTTTTGCTATTTGCTATCAATAGTTAAAATGAAGAATCAATGAAGTGTAGGAAGAATTTTGGGAGGATGAGAGTACCTGGGATTGAACCTCAGGGCCACTTACCCGTTTAGCCACATTTCAGCCCTTTATATTTTTTATTTCTAAAGGGTCTAGCTAAGTTGCTGAGGCTGGCTTTGAACTTGCAATTCTCCTGCCTCAGCTTCCTGAGCTGCTGAGGTTATAGACATGCGCCACCAGGCCTAACAGGAGAAATGTTGACACATAATTGAATTTACTTAATTTTCTGCTTATTGCAATATTAAGTACTTATTAGATTTGAGCCTTAGATGATGTTAATACTGACTATTAATGAGTTGTCCAAATTTATCAAAAATAGATATCTACCTATTACCATATACTCATGTAACCATAAATAGTCATTTTTGGCTTATGGGAAGCTATAACCATTTGTTCCATACATATTCCATCCAAAAGTTGGGCACTTAAAGTACTCTTTCTGTTAACATGACAACCCTTGTAGTTTAGACTTAAGTGGTTGATTGTAGGTGATTTGAGATGTTCAGTGTTGTTTGATCCTAAAATGTGAGGCCTGTGGGTATGTATTTTTTTTTTGTTTTAAAACAAAAGTTGTTTTCAGGACCTGGTATGTTAGTATCCTGTACCTGGTATGATTCAGAGCTGAGAAGATACATATTCAATTGAGCATTGTATTATAATATGTGATATCTGTTATTGTAGTTAAGACATTTAACTTAAAGGATACTTTGACTTGTCTTTAGTACATTTGAAATTTTCCATTGCTCTTAGAAAACAATGAATTGACTGCCTTAGCTCCAAGGAGGAAATTCCTTTGGTGAGTCAGATTTCAGGAAGATGGAGTATATATACTGCTAGCAGTTTTGCATTCTTTTTTTTTTTTGAAAAACATGGTTGAAATCTATTCAGGATCTTTTCCATAAAAACAAATAAAATCAGGTGTTCAGAATCACTTAGGTGGAATAATTACATTAATTTGTCTTAATCAGTTTCTGTTATGATCAATCTTGTTTTCAGAATTTTAAGCTGAGCTAAATGGTGCTTATTGTTTAGAAAGCTTGTTCATAAGTGTTGTAAACTGTGATCCTGAATCTGGGCTGACACTTATTTCTTGTTTTTGTGGTGCTGGGGATTGAACCCAGGGCCTCCTACATACTGGGCAAGTTCTCTTCCACTGAATCACATCCTTGTCCCTGTGCTGACATTTGCACTGATATACAAATGTCAGTGCAATTTTAGTCTCTGTGCATTTATCTGGCAAATATTTATTAACAGAGATAAGTCTCCAGTGATCATTAGTGGGATTCTGAAGGTGGTTAAATCCACCCAAAGGTTGGGTTATAAGCAAGAGAAAGGATTTGACTTTGACCTGGGTCATGTGGTGATGTTTAGCAATATGCTTAAATTAGAACTGTAGCATGTAACTAATGCCATCCTAAATGTACATGTAACTTGTGCACAGCCTTCTAGGCTTTACCTTTATGTTATTTTTGTGAGGAAAAGTCTTGGATTAATGCTTTTCAGCCAGGCACAGTGGCTCACTCATGTAATCCCAGTGGCTCAACAGGCTGAGGCAGGAGGACCTTGAGTTCAAAGCCAGCTTTAACAACTTAGTGAGACCCTGTCTTTAAATAAAAAGTCTGGGGATGTGGCTTAATTGTTAAGTGTCCCTGGGTTCAATCTACAACAAAAAACAACAACAAAAAAGAAACCTTTCCATTTCAGTTAAAGAACAAGAAATGTTTCTAGGGCTATTCTAAGAATATAATTTCTACTTTGTTGTCTTTTTAACAGATAACATTACTGCAGATGGAGCATAATTTTGATATTGTAAGTATATATTGTATTTTTAAATACACTTTAAGTTTTGCTTTTGAGTTTTTGAGTAAAAGCCTTCTTTCTTTCTAGATGAACCATGCTTGCCGAGCCTTAACGTACATGATGGAAGCACTTCCTCGGTCGTCTGCTGTCGTTGTGGATGCTATTCCTGTCTTTTTAGAAAAGGTAGACCTGGGGAACAGAGTTTAAAACTCTGGAATTCCAACTTTCTTTAAACTAAAGTATATTTTTTAGCCAAGATTCCAGAAAAATATTTTATGGTTTACAGACCATTAAAGTTTGAAGCTAACAAATCGTTTATAAATTCGGCCCCATGTTACAATTTTTAGTAAGAACAGTTTCCACATTAGTTTAATATCTTTAAAGAACATCCCAAAGGGCTTGGTTTAAAAATAATGTTTCTAGGGCTGGGGATGTGGCTCAAGCGGTAGCGCGCTCGCCTGACATGCGTGCGGCCCGGGTTCGATCCTCAGCACCACATACCAACAAAGATGTTGTGTCCGCCGAGAACTAAACAATAAAACATTAAAAAAAATTCTCTCTCTCTCTCTCTCCTCTCTCACTCTCTCTTAAAAAAAAAAAATAATGTTTCTAGAAAATCCATCAGTGAAGTTGATAGCTGTTTATATCCTATCCTTATTGTGTAGCTGAAAAGGTTGAGGCAGAGTGCCTTGAGTAAAGACATAAAATTAAGTCGGTGGACAAGGACAGTTTTTTTCATATGGTGTATGTATGTTGTGCTTCTGGTTTGTCTTACGAGTCTGTCTTTTGATGTCAGTATGTGGCCCAGGCCTATCTTGAATTCCTGGGCACAAGTGATCTTCTCAACTTATTCTCTTGAGTGCTTGGACTATAGGTGCTTGCCAATATGCCTTTTCAGTGCACAGTAAAAGTTGTTTTATTTGATAAGCATGGAACACGGTGTGTAATTCTAAACCTGATTTTAAAATATTATTATGCAAAACAACTTGCCTATTTCAAATGTGAAGATTTATTCTCTATATAAAATGTATTTTCAATATCTCAAAATGGAACAAATTAATTGGGTGGAAACTATTAGTTGGCTCCATTTTATAGCTTAAGCTCAAGGAACTTGTTTCTTATGGTGGGTTTCATTTAGAGACTAAGTAGATGGGTGTAGAAGTTAACTTATTGGAAAAGAACTTAAATGATAACCTTAAGTTATTTATTTATATTTATATTTTCCCAGCTGCAAGTTATTCAGTGTATTGACGTGGCAGAGCAGGCCTTGACTGCCTTGGAGATGTTGTCACGGAGACACAGTAAAGCCATTCTACAGGCAGTAAGTGTCGTTACTAAAGGACTATATTTCATTCAGTGTTGTATTTTAGATCTGCATTTGTACTGATTCTGTGATTACAATCACTGTAAGAAGCACACGTTGTTTCCAAAGTAATTAGCTAGGCTTTTTAATAGTTAGTTTTTTGTTGTTCTTGTTGCCTTAACAGTTTTCTGTATTTTAGGGTGGTTTGGCAGACTGCTTGCTGTATCTAGAGTTCTTCAGCATAAATGCCCAAAGAAATGCACTAGCAATTGCAGCCAATTGCTGTCAGAGTATCACACCAGATGAATTTCATTTTGTGGCAGATTCCCTCCCATTGCTAACCCAAAGGCTAACCCATCAGGTAAATTATGAACTTATTTTATGTGTCACAAAATAGTTTTATTATGGTTATTCCAACTAGTACTATAAATCTTCGAATGGGGATAACTTTAATAGGTTACTGTGTAAGATTTTGGTGTATTTACCCAAATTAATAGTAATGTGTGTGTTTGATATTTTTAATTATTTTGATTTTAAGATTAATTTGTTATTGTAGCAAACATTAAGTGTTTACTATGTGATATGATCAGAATTTATTCTGGAAAGATCACCTTTTCTTGAAAGGGTAAGGATGGGATCATGTTGAGGATATGGATTAAGAAGACCAGAAGAGAGACAAATCTGTCCCAAATAGAAATGAAAAATGTAGACTGAAGCTGTTTGGCATTGGCTAAGAGTAGTCATGTAGAAGGTAGAATCAAAGGAATAGAATTGGTGATGCAGTATGAAAAGCAGGTTTGTAAATTTCAAGGTTGTAGAGAAACTGAGTTTTTAAAACTGTAAATAAATGTTTAGCATAGAATGTATTTCCTTCTGATCTCTCTCTCTCACACACACACACACACACACACACACACACACACACACACACACACAGAAAGTGCGCGCAATACAGTAATGTTTTACAATTTTGTTGTTATGCTGAAGAAAGTTTTAGAAATCTGGCTTTAAAATCACCCAAAGTATGCTTAAAAATGTGGGAGATTAGGTACATAAAATACGTTTGAATAAATAAGGGATTTATATAAGATGGATAAATGAAAATGTACATTGAGTCATCCCTGAAATTTTTATGATCAAGACAGAGTAATGCCATTCACTTTTTTCTTTGTTCTTTAAAATACAGTTGACTAAGGTAATCTTTTTATAGGCTAAAAATATATTCTCTAATTCATTGTGATAATCAGTACTATATAATGTCCTTATTTAGAAATAAGATATAAAAATCAGAGAAGTTAAATACTTGGCCACTATTTGGTAGCACTCTTTCTGGTGTTACATAGTGGAAGTGAAAGGTGTAGGGCTTTATAAACCTCAATTTCTATTTTTTACAGAAGTAAGTATTTTTTTATGTATGAAGTCCACTTATAAATTAGGAAAAAACAAGGTCTGTCAAAATACTAGTGAAACTAGTAAAATATTCTTTCACTTATTATGAGGATTATTATAAATGTTTTCTCTAGAGAGATCATTGTAATTTTTATAGTGAATAGCAACTTGTTTTAATAGTAAATCATTTCTCATTTTGTAGAATTGAATCTTTCCTAGAATGTTTTTATACGGACTATAACAAATCTATGCCCAAGTTTTGGCATTATCAATACAGTTTGTCCTTTGGTATTTGTGGGGAATTGATTTAAGCCCTCTTTCCCCCCATTTAGAAAATTTGTAGATGCTCAAGTCCTGGCATACCCCTGGTTCACAAACTTAGACTTAACTATTTCTGCCTTTTTAGTGTGTATATATTTAAATATTTCTATTTGGAATATTTTAAAATATTTATTGACATAGCCTTTATTTTAGGTATTTGATTATATAAGCACAATATTTATTCTTCCTTTACTGTGTTTTTGCTTTTCATCTAGTAAATCAGTATAATTGATAGTACCAACGTTACCTTACCTAGGCTCATTTATGTTTGAATAACTTATATCTACTAATTGAAGTCCCCTCAGAGAATTAGGAGTTAAAAAAAAAAGATAATATAGTGTATTATATTTTTGTATGAAGTATGACCATGCAAATTTTTTATTGATAAACTTAATTTTTTTTCTTTAAAAAAATAGGACAAAAAATCAGTAGAAAGTACTTGCCTTTGTTTTGCACGTCTCGTGGACAACTTCCAACATGAGGAGGTAATCAGCATTTTGTCATTGGTCATACTTTTCTAAAGTTGAGTTATCAAACCACAGTTTAACCTTTTTTTTTTTTTCCTTGTGTTCATGAAGAATTTACTCCAGCAGGTTGCTTCCAAAGATCTGCTTACAAATGTTCAACAACTGTTGGTTGTGACTCCACCAATTTTAAGTTCTGGGATGTTTATAATGGTAGTTCGCATGTTTTCTCTGATGTGTTCCAACTGTCCAACATTAGCTGTTCAACTTATGAAGCAAAGTAAGTGCTGTTCTATGACTGCATTTTAAGCAAGAAAAGTCGCTTGTTTTTCATTGATAAGTAAAGTCCACATAAGCCAAACAAGAGATTTTGAATGACATAGGATATTAAGGAAGATGGGTTGGGGATGTAGCTCAACGGTACAGCACTCACTTAGCATGAGCAAGGCCCTGGGTTCAGTTTCATGGGGATGGAGCAGGGAGTCATGGAACATACATATATATGGATGGGTGTGTGTATGTATATAAAATTTATATTGGACAATATATTAATGTTTCTAACACAGAATTTTAATACTGTCACTTAAAATATTTAAAAAATTAATCCTTGGTGATTTGGGACTATTGACCCAAGATCATTGATTTCTATATAATATGAATCATACAAGAGTTTCTCATTAGAATTTTGAGTTTTATGTTATCAGTAACTACTTGCATTCAGTTTTGGGGTACTAAAATCATTTTTGCCCATATTATATTTTCCAGCAGCTTATGTGATTCTGGAATGTTTTCTTCCCTCAAAAGCTCAAAGTATTTTACTTTATTTGCTAATTTTGTGTTTCCATACCTTACCCAATGTTCAGGAAATAAAATTTTATTGTGTTAGTATTGCATGCAGTTGATTGTTTTCTGCCTTAAACCTTTGATTTCACAAATTAATGTCAGAGGGTTGAGACTTCAGAAAACATATTTTGTTTATTTCTAGTAGAGTATTGATCACATTTTTGGAACACCTATAATTATGATTAATTTCATACCCATAATTCTGATCTCTGAGGGTATTAGTTTGGGAGTCAGCAATGATATTCACTGATAATGTTTGGTACATTAGTTCAGACAGTATATTTAGCAGTATAATATTTTCTTTTGGGGGAAACTTCAGTTTTTATGTAATTGAATTTCTTGTGAATGAGTGCATTGGCACAGAACTTGATAGAAAGACCAAGTGTTTGTTGAGGAGACTATTGAAAAGATTAGTCTTTCCTAAAAGTACTTCAGAGATGACTGTTTTGCCTGTGTCATGAATAGCAAGCTCTTGGCCTGAATAAGACTAAGAAAGATTTGATTCCTTCTCGAATAGTCTCAATTCACTTTTCTTACCATTAAAGTCCCCAGGAGCTCTTTAAACTTTATATTAGCTCAGAATTTCCATGACTTTGATTTCACAAATTATCTGCAGCTGTTGTGTTGTATAGTAGTACATACAAGTTTGGGAAATTACTGCTTTACTTTGTTTTAACATTTTGGAATTTAACATGATGCATATTTTCACCTCTTTAACTCCCAAGAAGTTTCGCACACATTTATCATGGAGGCTGCTAGACATAATTTTTTTTTCCCTATATTGATATCAGAGAGGAAATGTGGACTTTTTCTGTTTGTTTATGTTTCTGGTCATTCAATTTCTTTAAAAAAAAAAAAATTCAAGAATTGATGACACTTGCCTAGCGTGTGCAAGGCCCTGGGTTTTATCTTTAGCACCACATAAAAATAAATAAAGATATTGTGTTCAACTACAACAAAAAAATAAATATTAAAAAAATTGATAATGCACAATTTTTTTTTTTTTTTTTTTTGTGTGTGTGTGTGTGTGTGTGTGTGTTGCTGGGGGTGGGGGTTACTGGGATTGAACCCAGAGGCACTTTGCTACTGAGCACCAACCCCAGCGTTTTTTTAAGTTTTTTTTTTTTTTTCCTTAAATTTGGCTACAGGGTCTTAGTTTCCTGAGGCTGGCCTTAAACTTTTGGCCTCTGAAGTCACTGGAATTACAGGTGTGCACCATCATGCCCAGCCTTTCACATTTCTTGAAAAAAGAAAAACTACCTTTTTTAGAAATTTTAATCACTTTCACAATTGTACATTTTTGCATATCTGTAATAATTACAGAAACACAAACACACACTAGCAACCAACAGAGATTCAGCTCTGTCCACAGAGTGACTAAACCTGTGGAGACTGGAAGTTCTTTCTATTCACACTATCAATGCACCTGGGCAGTTTTCATGCAGCATCTTCCAGAAACTGATTAGTATCTTCTGGGAATGGAAACTTATGTAGAGAATTATTAAAATGAGCCTCTATATGAAGTTGATAACTAAGCAATGTCACATAAGGCAGTGGCTTTCCTGATCATAGTAGGGAAGCTCCAAGCGTTCCCAGGTGCTACATTAGATCCTATTTGCCATACATTTTCATTATATTTGAATCAAAGGTATATATATCAATGTATGTGAATACGAGTATGTTGAGTGTACTTTTGTACAAAGTGCTGTACTCCTTAAGGAATGTAGTAAAAAATTCTCATTCTCTGGTTAGATGGTTGTAATTTCAATTAGGAACCCAGTTAGAAGGTTTGGATTCAAGAGTGAAGTCCTTAGAAAGAAATGATTAAAATCTACATAAAATGTCTTCTTAGGTTTTTATTGTAGTTAATTTGGATTTTTTTTAACTCTTATTTTTGTATTATGTTGTTTTATAAGACAATGTGATTGTTTTCCCCTAGGGAATGATTTATTTATCCCCCACACCCCCTTTCTCTTTTTTGGTACCAGGGATTCAGGGACAGTCAACCACTGAGCCACATCCCCAGAGAAAGGGTCTCACTGAGTTGCTTTTGATAAGGCTGGCTTTGAACTCAATCCTCCTGCTTCTGCCTACTGAGCTGCTGGGATTATAGGCATGTGCTACCATGCCCAACTTGATTGTCTCTTAAATTAGGTACTACAACTAATTTAATAGGCTGTTGTGTTTTCTTGCTGGTTTCACAGATATTGCAGAAACTCTTCACTTCCTGCTGTGTGGTGCCTCCAATGGAAGCTGTCAAGAGCAAATTGATCTTGTTCCACGGAGTCCTCAAGAACTATATGAACTGACATCCCTGATTTGGTAAAGATGGGGCTAATAATAATTCTGTAGTTTGTGAGGTTATTTTAGAGGTCTAACATTCACCCATAGTTCAGGAAGCTACTTATTAAAATAATTGCACTTTTTGTTTTCAGTGAACTTATGCCATGTTTACCAAAAGAAGGCATTTTTGCAGTTGATACCATGTTGAAGAAGGGAAATGCACAGAACACAGATGGTGCGATATGGCAGTGGCGAGATGACCGGGGCCTCTGGCATCCCTATAACAGGATTGACAGCCGGATCATTGAGGTAGTAGTTTCATTGTACCATTTAAATATGTCTGTTTTGGTGGATAGTGGGTGTAGGGATGGAATGGGAGGTGGGTGTGTATACTTCCGGTGTGCTCAATTTTGAATTAACTTAAGATTCTCTCATTTTGTCTCCTGAGAACAAGGTCCTCATTTCTGTTCAGGTCAGAAAACATGATGTTCTAGTCCTGCTTCTGCTGCTAACTACCTGATTGACTTGGAGCAAGTAATTTAAGTTCTTTGTTCCATAGTTTCCTCATTCTTGAAAGGAAACATTGGAGAAATTAGGCTACATGCTTCTAAAATATATTTACTTTTACTTCAATTCAAAAGAAATCTCCCACAAACAAAGATTTACATACCTCCGTAATTTTTAAGAGCTACAACATGAAAATAAATATCTAGCTCTGGGTGAATGATAAGGAAATTATGATATATATGTAAACTCATAATTTGGTTATTAATGGGATAGATTTTGATGACTTAAATGAAAAATATTATACACAAAAATTATATGAATCTTTTGGAAACTTCATGAGAGAAGAATAATACAAAAGGAAAGTACCAAAATGTCAACAGTGATTTTTTTTTTTCCTGGCTTATTTATTTTGATATTTCATTTTTATTTCTATACTTAATGTTTACACTGAAATATTTTTTTAAATTCTCAAATCAGCAAAATGTTTGCCACAGCTTTGAAATATTGCATTGAGATGTTATGTATCCTTTACTAATATTTTCTATATATAAAATGCCTATAAATTTTATTTTCTAATTTCAGCCTTCATATTTGAATATTCTTGGAACATCACACTTCTTTAAAAGACATCCGTCTTTAAAGATGTTTTCCAGTTAGTGTCTGAAAATGAATTTTTGAAATAAAATTTAACCATCGACATACATTTTAAAATTAAAACCTCTCATGAAGAAATCTAAACTCATAGCGAGGCTACTATTAGTGAAAGTGAACTTGGTTCTTTTGTGCATTGTTAGCCTTAGAATGTAAGCAGACTACACTTGCTAGTGGTCTTCATCTCTTAAGTGTTCTGTTTAGCATTTTCCTGGTAATTGCACTTCACTATTAGCTTACTCTGTTGTGTTTCCTAAGAGTCCTTTCTTACATTCAGTCTTGCAGTGCCAGCCTAAATTGAACTCTAAAAATGAATGAATAATCTGTGGCTTGTAAGACTGTCTGAAGTCAAACAGTGTTCCATCTGCTGTGTTCAACCTTGGAGATTACTCTCTTAGTTTTACTTGTGTTCCTTTGGATCTTGAGAGTACCATTTAAATGTAAAGTCTTCTTTGTGTACTCAAGGACAATTGTATAGGATCATTTTCTTTAAAGGAGGATATTGTGGGTTACAAAGAATTCATTATATAAATAATCTTTCTGTTTTAGGAATTGGATTCTAAGATTATGGATAATAAATTTTTTTCTCTCAGCTATATCTTAAAAGCTTTCATTAAGTTGGGGATATGGCTCAGTGGTAGAGCACTGGGAAAAAAAACTTCTTTAATGCAAATGGTAAAATGGTATCTTCATGTCAGTGTTGCTATATGGCTTTGTTTCATTAGAGTTTTATATGCATTTATGTCTAAGGGTGCCTCATAGGAACTTAGGTATATATCTTTGTTTAATTAAAAATGATTTATTGAATAAATGAATTTTGTCATATCCACACTTATTAAATCTTCCATATTCTGTTATCTCATCATCTAAGACCTGATTAGGGGGGAAAAATGTAAGATAACATGTATGGAGGGTTCCCGCTGTGTCTTAAGGTATTGAATTTCTCCATGTTTATATTCAAGGTTTCTCTTTCTTTGCTCTCAGGCAGCCCATCAGGTCGGTGAGGATGAGATAAGCTTGTCCACTCTGGGACGAGTTTATACTATTGATTTTAATTCTATGCAGCAAATCAATGAGGACACGGGAACAGCACGTGCCATTCAGAGAAAACCTAACCCATTAGCCAATACTAACACTAGTAAGTACTTTGGAAGTTAAATAGTGCTATACTGTAGGTAGTGTTTTGTGTTTGCATAATAAATAATTGTTTCATTAAATATCCTTATTTAGCTTAAGGCACTTACTAAGAGTAATTTATGGGTTTTTTTAGTTTGTTTTTGCTTTTTAAAAATTATGTTCCTTATTTGATCAATGAACCATATTACTTAACTCTGGTGTCTTTCTCACAGTTATGTCTCAGAACTGGCCGGTCCTATTAACCCTCTACCTTTAGTTTTATTATTGTTTTTATTTTATGCCTTTGTGACAAAATTCTCTTCTTCACTGATGAAGAGAACAGATGATAGTGATTTTTTTTTTTCCATGTTTCTGACACCACCCATTTCTTGCACCCACTCCTTAATTAAGAATTTCTCTCAGAATTTCCCCTGGAATTCAGTCCATTGCTTTTGCAGCTCTAGTTTAGATTGCAGTGGTCAGCAAATATTTTTTCAAAATGGGTCAGAGAGTAAATATTTTAGACTTTTTAAATCATAATTCTCTATATTGGCCAGTGTCTTTGTAGTTCAAAGCAGGCATATACAATATACAAACCAATGTGCATGGTTTGTTCTAATAATAATTTATTTACAAAGCCAAGTGATATATTGGGCTGGACATTCCAGACTTTTTCCAACTCCTGGTTCATCAGTTACTTTTTCCCTATACTTCTTTCCTCTAAGCAAAGTGTGACAAAATCCCCTTGTTTATCCATTTTATTTAGCTTTCAGCTAAGTACTTTGCATTTCTTGGACTCTGCTTATTTCTTAAAAATGTTTTAGTTTGTTAGTATTGAAATTTCCCCAGTATTTCTCTGAATTATGTATTAGTTAAATAAAATGATATGGTATGGTGATATACTTCATTATCTTTAGCTGGCTATAACAGTCAATAGTTTCCTGTGTATAAATTTTGACTTAGTAGTATTTTTAGTGTGTAGACCACAGTTGAATTCAACAATGAAAATAATGTTCTATAATGAAAAAATTTTCAAGCAGATAATTACATTGACTTAATTAAATACGTTGTGTATTGTGTTTCTGAAATCTTTTCACTATAGAACTGTATTTTTTTTTTTTTTAAATAACAGGTGGATATTCAGAGTTAAAGAAGGATGATGCTCGAGCACAGCTTATGAAAGAGGATCCGGAACTGGCTAAGTCTTTTATTAAGACATTATTTGGTGTTCTTTATGAAGTGTATAGTTCCTCAGCAGGACCTGCGGTCAGACATAAGTGCCTTAGAGCAATTCTTAGAATAATTTATTTTGCGGATGCCGAACTTCTGAAGGATGTTCTGAAAAATCATGCTGTTTCAAGGTGTGTTCATGGAAATAGTAAAAACATTTAGAAATTCAAGTCTTTGCAAATAATTTCAGGAACCTCTAGAATCAGTATACAGAAAAAAATATGTACATGACTGGAGCATAGGAGCCCTGTATTAATACAAAACTTTAATAAAAAAAGTATAAAATATAAAAGTTAAGAATTTAAGAAAAAAATGTTAGAATGATGGCGTGGTTTCATGACAAAAATATTTTGTTCTCAAATTTAAGGTGATGTGGCCAAAAATAATGTCAAGTTCAGACAAAGTTTTTATATATGAATGCTTTCTTTTTTTAGTCACATTGCTTCCATGCTATCAAGCCAAGACCTGAAGATAGTAGTTGGAGCACTTCAGATGGCAGAAATATTAATGCAGAAATTACCTGATATTTTTAGTGTTTACTTCAGAAGAGAAGGTAATGTCATTCCTTGTAATAAATTAATGATCAATCATTCAGTCTAGATAGTACTTAAGTAGAAATAGTTTTAAATGTACAGACAATCTGAGCTTTTTAAAATACCAGATATTTACATAGTTAGAGCTTAAGTGCCTGTAGAATATCTTTTATGTATTTCTAAATGTTTGTATATAATATAAATGCAGTTAGTATGCTTTTTAATGTAGTCAACTAATGAATACTTAGTATTTTTCAATGAGTTGAATGTTTCCTTAAATACTAAATTTAAAATCAATTATGGACTTTTAACATATAGGTAATATATGACCACCCATAAAGATTCCTTCAGAAAGTCAAATGTTGCTTTGTTTTTTGTTTTCTAGCTATTTTATTTTTATTTGGTCTTCTTAGTTATACATGACAGTAGAATGTATTTTGACATATCACATATACATGGAGTATAACTTCTCATTTTTGTCGTGTACATGATGTGGAGTTAAAATAATCGTGTATTCATATATAAACATAGGAAAGTTATGTGCAATTCATTCTACAGTCTTTCCCATTCCCATCCTCCTTCCTAATTCCCCTTGTACAGTTCAGTGAAGCTTCACCCGCCCCTACCTGTTGCTTTGTTTCTTAGAATCATATCAACACACCAGAAAAATTCTCATTAGAAGATATATTTTTCATTCTTTTTAAAAGATTTTTTAAATTTTTTTCTAATTTGTTATATATGTCAGCAGAACACATTTCAATTCATGTTACATATATAGAGCACAATTTTTCATATCTCTGGTTGAATACAGTGTACAGTCATACCATTCTGTCTTCATACATGCACTTAGGGTAATGAAGTCCATCTCATTCCACCGAGGATGTATTTTTTATTGTGTGGATAATGGAATATTTTAAGGCTTGGAACAGTCTTCTAGAATGCAGTTTGTCTAGTTCTTCAGTTTGCACCATTTGAATGTCAAAATCAACCTGGTAGATCTGGTACTTTTCCATTTTTTTTTTAATGAAGATTTCAGAGATAAACCTATCAGTATTACCTAATTGATCAAGAAGTTCTTAACAGAAAATTTTTTAAGCCTTTCTGGTCTTTTAGGATATTAAGGTCTTATGGAGACATGGGGGAAAGTTATTTTCTCCCTCAAGTAATTTTTTAGTCTCATTTTCTGTTCTTTTGACCATTTTTTCTTCGACTGTGTCTTAATTTCTTCATATCTTGAAAATGAAATAGATAATATAATAGTATTGAACAAAATGGGAAGAGGCTTTCATCATTAAAGTAGGTTTCATTTAAATAACACTGTTTTGATTTCCTTTGGGGCCGGGGGTGAGGGGATACCAGGGATTGAACTCAGGGGCACTTAACCACTGAGCCACATCCCCAACCCTTATTTTGTATTTAGAGACATAGTCTCACCTCGCTTTTGCTGAGGCTGGCGTTGAAGTAGCGATTCTCGTCTCTCAGTCTCCCAAGCCGCAGGGATTACAGGCAATGCACCACATGCCCAGCTTTTTCTTTGTTTTGAACAGTTTTCTTTCTTTCTTTCCTTTTTTTCCTTCTCTTCTCTTCTCTTCTCTTCTCTTCTCTTCTCTTCTCTTCTCTTCTCTTCTCTTCTCTTCTCTTTTCTTCTCTTCTCTTCTCTTCTCTTCTCTTCTCTTCTCTTCTCTTCTCTTCTCTTCTCATCTCATCTCATCTCATCTCATCTCATCTCATCTCATCTCATCTCATCTGGAGTCTTCCTCAGCACAATGAGAATGTGTTTATTTTCCCTCAAATTCATTCAGATTTCTATATAGTTTCCTTGCCTTCATGTATATACAATTCTGTGATCCTACCCCAGATGAGAATCCCACCTTATAAGTTTACAGTTTGGCTTTCTTCATATGCCGCCAACAGTGACAGTCACCATCTTGGACAGCAGTGTCAACTTGTAGCACTTGAAGTTATAAAACAGTACTATGTTCCTCCCTCTCCCCTGATTGATCATATCATAAGATGTACTATATTTCTGTAATTGATTATTGTTTTTATAATGAATATTCTAAACCCTGAGTAGGACTTTATTTGCAGTCCTATTAAATTTTATATGATCTGGTTGTTTTTGTTTTGTACAATACTATGTATTGAACCCAGGGGCACTCTACCAGTAACCTACATCTGTATCTCTTTCTACTTTTTATTTTGAGGCAGAGTTTTGTTAAGTTATTGAGGCTATTCTCAAAACTTTTGTTTCTGTTTCCTTGGCCTTCCAAGTAGCTGGGGTTGTAAATGTGTGCACCTTGCCTATAATCTAAGAAAACATATCAATATAAATATCTTTTTTATAATTTTCATATCTTTATGATTGAGTCATGTTGAAATATATGGCTTCTAAACTTTCCCCCATTTGCCAGCTATTGTTTGATTAGGGATTTTGTAAGGTGGGAGGTGGCCCTCACTCCTAACTGAAACCAGCTCCTTTTCATTCCCATTATTATAAAGGTGTAATGCATCAAGTTAAACATTTAGCGGAATCAGAGTCTTTGTTGACAAGTCCACCAAAGGCGTGTACGAATGGGTCAGGATCTTTGGGGTCCACAACATCAGTCAGCAGTGGAACAGCCACAGCTGCCACTAATGCCACCGCTGATTTGGGATCTCCCAGCTTGCAGCACAGCAGAGATGATTCTTTAGATCTAAGCCCTCAAGGGTAAGTGAGGTTTTCAATATGATTTTTATATTCTTTGACTTTAGCTCTCTTTTGGTACCTGAGACTCAATAGGGATTTAAATGGTAGAATGTCAGAAAGTGAAAGAATGTCAGAAAGTGAACATTTTGTTTTTCTATCTTTTGTTAGACATTTAGCAGGTAAGAGGAAAATATTTTGGGAAAAGCTGCTTTATTTTTATTTTGCCTTGCTTTGGAACTACAAGATATATGTGCTATTTCCATTGACATAAAAGGCTCAGAGATGTTAGTAAATTGCACAACATTACAGATATAGTATTTCAGCTTTAGTTTCCATAATTGTGTGATTGTTTACTGTATTGCTGCATAAATATAACCTCTGAGACATCTAGGTACTGATACTGTGAAAAATATTAAAAATTGAAGTTCTAGACAAGGCAAAGATAACTGATTTTCCATTTATCTTTAATTAGCAAATAGAAGCAAATACCTTGCTTTGTTAACAAGTGAAAATGGGTAGTTCTTAAAGAATTTATCTCTGATGTACTATGTTAAGAATATTGGCAAACCCTCATTGATTTTCATATTGTTGAATTGGAAACATCACACTTTCTTGAACGGGTTTTTGTTTCTTTGGTGTTAGAAATTTTAATATTGCTATATGAATGGTATATGATGAAAAGATTCTGAAATTTGGAATGTTCTCTGATTTGGGATGTTCTCTGTGTAATTTTACTCCTTTTTAACTGAAGAGTAAGTCTTGATAAAACAGAAACAGTAAGTGGGGCTCAAAAATTAAGGCTTGGAAACTTCAGGGTAGCATTGTCCTGTGCAGCTCACCAGTAGTAGAGATAGAGCTGCTTTTGGTGCCACCTGCTGGCAGTTGTCTACTCTAGCTTAAAGACAAATTTCAGTGGTTCTAGGCTTTGTAGCAAACTGTGAGTGTTACTTTAGGAAAACTCCTTAGTTTTGGTGGTATCTGTGTTATTGGCCAAGTTTGATGAGACTAGGCCAGGAGAATAGTGGGGGCTCACCACCTTCCCAATTCTGAGGTTGCACATGTATTGTTTTCCCTCATGTGTTGCTTTCTCTTCTAGCCACACATCATCCCTTCTCCTTCCTCCCTAGCCCCACTCCCACCCCTGGAGGCTGCAGTAAACCTGTTATTGTAGGATTTTACCATATGATACAGGCACAGTGTTTGAGACATCCATTATAAATGTACAAGTGAATTTCATGGTACTGGGATATAGCTCAGGTAAATGCAGTATTGTTGAGCCACTCTTAAGAAGTTGATTGGAAGGAGAAACTTTAAAAGTATTTTCAGAGTTTTAAAGGGTTTTATATTTCAAGTTCATTAATTCAGTTTTAAAGTAGAAATTGTCTTATCATATTTTAGTCTTATCATTTTTCTTAATTATCAAGCACATTTGAACACATCATTAAACATGTGCTGTAGAAATGTCAGATGTAGAAGGATTTTTCCAACTTTTTTTTTTCAATTTTACTTGAGCCACAGACTAATAGAAGTGAAGCATACATTTATGTATGTATTCATTCATTCATTTATTTTGGTGCTGAGAATTGAAAGAACCCAAATATTTCATCTTTTCCATTTTACATAGTTTAGTTATTTAAAGAATCTGTTGCTACTTAAAATTATTTCTAATGTTGTTAAGAACAGTAGTTATAGACAGTTCAGTTTCAATCATGGTTCTAATTAAAAATAGGTTCCTTACACTGTCACTCAACTAGATACATACATAGGTTTTAAAAAAAACCCACTGAAGTGTTTATACGCTCATTTATTTAGTTTGTTACTCCCACTGGTGCACAACTTTGTGTAGGATAGTGTAAGCAGTTAGGAAAGAATTTTGATTGTGTGATCACCAAGTGCCATGCATATTTTAATTGTTATCATTTATATTAGGAAGAGATTTAGTACTCACATTTGACTGCTCTTCACACAACTTTTACTAATTTGGCTCTTATTATATTTGTTTTATATACTTTATACACCACATTTGAAAATAAAGCTGAACACATAGAGGATTAATCAGATATTCTAGTTGTTTCTATTTTTAGTCCTTATTAATCATTTCTTTTATCAGTACCTGTTTGAACATGACTGGTACAGAGTCAGCATTATTAAATAATCACTAAATGAAAGTTACCCTATTTCAATGTAAAATATATTGTGATTCATTATTTTTGCTACTGTTTTAGTGGTGATTACTAAACTTATACCATATTTTTCCATATTAGTCGATTAAGTGATGTTCTGAAGAGAAAACGACTGCCAAAACGAGGGCCAAGAAGGCCAAAGTACTCACCTCCAAGAGATGATGACAAAGTAGACAATCAAGGTAATTCCTTTGTGAAACTGTAGGGGCAAGATGAGATAGTAAATACCCAGTCTGAAGACCCAGTGATGTTAGTTCTTTTATTAATTAATGCATTAGGGCGGCGAGTCTTAAACTCTGTGGTTCTCATTAATAATGCTAAAATTACTTAACTGTTCTTTTTCTTTTCATAGCTAAAAGCCCCACTACTACTCAGTCACCTAAATCATCTTTCCTGGCAAGCTTGAATCCAAAAACATGGGGAAGGTTAAGCGCACAGTCCAACAGTAACAACATTGAGCCCGCTCGAACTGCAGGAGTTAGTGGTCTTGCCAGAGCTGCCTCAAAGGACACAATATCCAATAATAGGTGAAGTGGGGGGGGTTAATTCTGTTTTGCTTCTATTCTTATATCAGAAACCTTAACATTGTTTCATTCAGCACATTTATTGTGTGGAGATGATGCGTGGACACAGAACTTTAATTTGTTCTCAGAAGTGGCATAGCTCAAGGATGAGGTATATTCTCAATTCATGAACCCTGCATCTGTTTTTTTCCTACATTGCATCTTACTCCCAGCTTGAGTTTTAAAATGTAATATATATTCAAAACCAAATTATGTCCCGGATGGAAACTTTCCCTTCGTTTTGTTTTAGAGAAAGAAAAGCTGGTATTTTCTGTCCACACGTGTTTTTATGACAGAAATTTTCTTCCCATTTCAATCGAAAGTAAAGATTTGGAGGAGAGCCTTTTTTTTTTTTTTTTTTTTTTTTTTTTTTTAAGAACTTGGAACTGTCAGCTAAACTATTTCAAACTAATTTACAAATTAGCTTTTGAGGTCTTTGGGAGTTTTTGTTTTGTTTTTTTTTGGCTCTGAATATAGAATACCAACGTGTAACTTTCTCTGCAAATGAGAAATTTCAAAAAATTAAATGCCATTGAGAAAATATACACACTTTAAAAAAAAGTGGTGATTTTTAGTTTTTTGGTTTTTTTCTGAATTTCACTTAATAAAAATAATTAAGCAAATATATTTCTGAAACCACCAGCACTTGTAATTTAAAATCCAGATCTTTTTGTCATACCTTATCACACATCTACAGGGTGCCTGTTTCTCAATAGTTTTTTACTTCAGCTCTCCAGGGAGCACAAGTAAGGACACCTTGGATATGTCTGTACTTTAAGAAACTACCATGTAAAATTTCATTTTGGTAAACACTTAGGAAATCATTACCTTGGTAGAGTAACAAGAAATTAGAATATCTTGCTTACTGTTCAAGTAATGACCTAAAGTGTATTTTAAGTACCTCAAAGTGAAACAATTTGGTTACTATGGAACCTGAATTTATTCATCTGAGCCTAGGCCAGAAAGTGTTTAAAATGTGGTTATTTACTTTCTTTTGATCAAAAGTCATAGTATAAACACTGAGAATTTAATATCTCCCTTTTCCTTGTAGAGAAAAAATTAAAGGTTGGATTAAGGAGCAGGCACATAAATTTGTAGAGCGTTATTTTAGTTCTGAGAATATGGATGGAAGCAACCCTGCACTGAATGTCCTTCAGAGACTTTGTGCTGCAACTGAACAACTCAACCTCCAGGTATCATGTCTCTTCCAGCATCTTTTTATTCTTGCTATTTCTTTTCTTGATGACTCTCCCTTACTGTGGATTTAGCTATCATAGGTCTACTTTTTTAAAAAAATCAAATATGTATCTTTACTACTAACATTTCTTTTACTTGTCTCTTGACTGTTGTGATTCATCATCTTGTCATGAAATGTAGAAAGTTAATCTTTCACTTTCTTTTCTTCACATTCCATTATTTCTTGATAAATGAAGAAATTTCAGAAATGTCCCTCAAGCATATATCTTTTCTAAACCTTTTTGAACTGATAATAATAAAGTTGGCTGGTCTCTCCTATGCTTTTCTCTACCTGGGATCTCATAATGTTGGAGGGGGCAGAGGCTTAACAATCCTTGTACATTTCATATGGTTGTTTTTTTTTTTTGAGGGGGCTTTTTGGGGGTGGAGGGGTGTGTTTATGTACTTTGAGCAACTTTGGTTAATTTTTCTAAGAAATCATCCATTACTTTAGGATTTTGAGTGTGTTAACTTGAAGTCATATTTTGTATTCTTGGGTCATCTTTTCCTTCTGGTATTATATCCTTTTATTTTTCAATTTATATTCTTTCTTCTCTTTAAAGAAAATGACATTGGTTAAATAAGTAGATCTTTTTTTTTTTTCCCTTGTTATTTTGAATAGATTTTCTTTTTCATATATAACATTCTTGTGTGTCTTGGTATCAGATTCTATTTTTCATGGATTTATTAAGAATGTACCATTCCCTTGACCTCTTTGGGCTCTACATCCCTCACCCCCTTTTAAAAAAATATTTATTTATTTTTTTAGTTGTAGTTGGATACAATACCTTTATTTACTTTTATGTTGTGCTGAGGATTGAACTTGGGGCCTTGAATGTGGTGAGCAAGCACTCTACCGCTAGCCACAACCACCTCCACCCCCACTGCCCTTTTAATGTTTTTTTTTTTTTTTTTTTTTGCAAATTTTGAGGCAGGTCTCACTAAGTTGCTGAGGTTGGCCTCAAACTTGTAATCCTGCCTGTTACTGGATTACAGTTGTGCATCACTGCCCCTATCTTTATCCTTCTTTTTAAAAGGTATTGAGAATATATTTATTTCCCTTTGGGGAAATGTGAATTTTGTGTTAATAAGTGTTGTTTAAGTCAATATAGAAATACTATTCACAACTCTTCCCCCCCCCCCCCCCCCCCCCCCCCCCGCCCCCAGGTGGATGGTGGAGCTGAGTGCCTTGTAGAAATCCGTAGCATAGTCTCAGAATCAGATGTTTCGTCATTTGAAATCCAGCATAGTGGATTCGTGAAGCAGCTGTTGCTATATTTGACATCTAAAAGTGAAAAGGATGCTGTGAGCAGAGAGATCAGATTAAAGAGATTCCTTCATGTATTTTTTTCTTCTCCAGTAAGTTGTCTAATAATGTTTGTGTATCTCAATATCAGAGTCGGTATTCACTAATGCATGTTTTTTCATCCCAGTAATAAAATTTTAGTAGATGTTAGTCAGGATATCAAGGCAAAGTTTCTGCCTTGCTATAATGCATTTGGGCTCCTTGAATTGCTATGTATCATAGTAAATAGTAAATCAGTGAAATGGTGATTTTGATGAAGCCCATGTTAATTTGTGTGGTTATGGTATCCTTTTTTCCCCCAGTTATAGTTAACCACGGTATTTTATTTATTTTGATGTGGTGCTGAGGATCGAACCCAGGGTCTTGCACATGCTAGGCGAGCACTCTACCACTGAGCCACAATCCCATGGTACCTTGAGGTGTTTTTTCCCACCTATAAGATAAGCCATTAATCTCCTACCTCTGAATATTTTTTTCTTCTCAACATTTGTTTTAGTTTTCAATATCTACTTTTGGAAAGTAGGTAGATATAGTGTAGCTATGGCCATAAAACAGGCTATAAAATATTTCTATTTTGTACATAAAAGAGTCCTAGCAGTTCCCTTCAAGGGTACTCCTTCATCATTTTATAATGTAGATTATATATCCAGGAACCAAAGGCTGGCTCCCCCATTCTTCACTCACTGACTACATTTGAATTCTCTTAATTTAACTTTCTCCTGTTTATAGGTGCCTTAGAGAAGCATTCCCTCAGGAAGTTTCTTTCTGGATTATCTGGGTATTGGGCCTACAGGTTACTCTTTTATATTAGCAGAACTCTTTAACTATGCCCTTATAGTGCTCACAAGCATTTGAGACTGCTTGTATTATTTTAATTTATGGGACTACCTAATGCACAGTTGATGCTTATTGGAGATTAAACAGATAACATGACACCATTGGATGTTTTATGCCATGCTTGAGGAAAAGATAAAAATAAGTAGAATAATTCTTTTTCCTAAAACTGTTTATTAAATTTTCTTGTGGGAGTAGTATTCTATTCTCAAAAGACCTCACTTAACCAATGGTTTATTTATAACTTTAGCTTCCTGGAGAAGAGCCCATTGGAAGAGTAGAACCAGTGGGTAATGCACCTTTGCTGGCATTAGTTCACAAGATGAACAACTGCCTCAGCCAGATGGAACAATTTCCAGTCAAAGTGCATGATTTCCCTAGTGGAAATGGGACAGGCGGCAGGTAAGGACCATTGCTTGGGTATCCCCTTGCCACTGGAAATTTGGTGGTTATTTTAAGGTAAAGTGGCAAGGGGTCTGGTAAAGTCTTAGTCTGCCTGAAGAATATTCTTCTGTAATGAATAAAGAAACTGAGTATCTAAAGAAAGAATCAAATGCTTTTTATCTTTAAGATTATACTATGTGTCTTAAGTCTGATCTTTTAAAAGTATGGAAACCAGTGACTGTTGGTAACTTTTGTAAGAAACTTAGTTTTCCTTAAATTGATATACCTTAATATAAAGCCTCTGCAAGAATTTTGTGGATATGAATAATAAAATATTTACATAGTCTGATTCCATATATAAGTTGTCATAACCTTATATTTTGATGGGTTTTAACAAGTAAGTGTAATTTAGAAGTTTTATTGACAGAAATTGCTGGGTTTTTTTTTTTCTATGATGTAGATTTAAGAATTTGTGGGATTACAGAAAGAATTGATTATAAAAGTTAATTTGTTGTGTGTTATGGAATGTTACAGACATCATGGAATATTGTGACTGAAAATAAGAAATCTGTTTCATTCTAAAACCCACAGTCTGAGGTATTCTAAAAACATTTGAGAACTTTTGATTGACCAAAAAGCACATATTTTTAAATAAAGCTATCACAGCATAGACTAGGGTTGTTTACTGCCTTTGAAAGTTAAAATGTCACTAGTGTGATGTTGTATTCATTTTGGATCATTATACTGCCCTGCAATAACTACGACATAAAAGGATATTTTCAGCTCTGCTTAAGAAAATCATGAAGCTTTTTATTTCTGTTGAAAATTTGTATGAAATATGCTTAATATGTATATAATAGAATATTATACTTCTATTTGCTGCTTTTATATAATCTTTTAGAGAAACACTTTATAAGTTTGTTTATCTAACTCTTACCTAATGGAAATGGGACAGAACTTTTCAGAAATGAGATATTAAGCATCATTACCAGATGTTAAGTGTAGTAGCTTAAACAGTTTTCATTCCAGAGTATGTGGTAAAATAAATTTCACAGGTTAGTTTTTAAAATAACTTCATAGCTGAAATCTTTGGCAGCAAAAACAGAGGTTTCTATTTTTTTAAATGGAATTTTATATGAAAGGACAGAATATTATACAAGTGGGTATGCTCAAGTAATTAAATAAATTTTAATTTCAGAGATACAACCAAATATCCATGATGTGGTATTTCTACTCACATGGATTCATGGTAGGACAAATTGAATGTTGATGTGTGCATACACATTCATCTTTTACTTCTTAGCTTTTACTATAATAACTTGCTTTATTGGCTTTCTCATTTATGGAACTATAAGTGCTTTTTTATGCTCTAGGAAAATGAATATATAACTTTTTATATGAATTAATGTGTATCAATTATGGAAAATAATAGAATAACTTTTTTTCATAAATTATTTTGAGCTTTTCTCTCAACAGAGGATCACAGGCTTTAAAATTTTTCAACACACATCAGTTGAAATGCCAATTACAAAGACATCCTGACTGTGCAAATGTGAAGCAGTGGAAGGGTGGACCTGTCAAGATTGACCCTCTGGCTTTGGTACAAGCTATTGAGAGATACCTTGTAGTTAGAGGTACTTTTCATATATGCATTTGTGTATCTATGTATTTGAGATGGAATTAGTAGTGAGAGAGAGATGCACACTATTTCCATATTTAATGCTGCTTCTGATCAAATCTAGACAATATCAACTTGTGTTCCTTCTTTCAACCAACCCCCCTTTTTTCCTGTTTTGCAGTGCTGGGCATAGAACCTGGGCCTTGTGAACTCTAGGCAAGCACTCTATCACAGAGCCATACCCTAGCCATTTCTTATTATAGGCATATGTTGTACTTATTAGGGGTTGACTGCTTAATTGAGAAGAACTAATTTTTTATGTTGGAATGCAATAGAAAGGTCATTTTGTGTTTGAGAATTTTCTTAGCTCTTTCTGTTTTAGAGCACAGACTATGATATGAACTTTTTTTTTCTTAAAATATCAATTTAATAGTACATATAGGCTTTTCTTTCACTCAGTAAAATTATTAGACTTTTAACATTATTCTTTGTATGTAGGGTATGGAAGAGTAAGAGAAGATGATGAAGACAGCGATGATGATGGATCAGATGAGGAAATAGACGAGTCTCTGGTAAGATAACTAGTCCCATCATGTTGTATAATACAGTAGTTAACCATTGTCAACCACTGTCTGAAAACATAATGTGGAAAATTCCAGAAATAATTCATAAGTTTTAAGTAACTTTCATATAACTTTTACCACAGTGTATTGTGATAGTTATATTTTATTATTAATCTCTTACTGAGTACCTGGTTTATAAATTAAACTTTATCATAGTTATGTGTATATAGGAATAAATGTGGTACATACAGATTAAGCATTTCTAATTTGAAAATCCAAAGTCTGAAACGTTGAGCACCAGCATGATATCACAAGTGGAAAATTCTGTACTGGACATCATGGCTCAGGTTATAGTCAAAATGAATTGTGAAAATATAATTTCAAGGCTATGTGTATAAAGTGCATATAAAACTAACTTGAATTTCCTGTTTTGACTTGGATCCCACTCCCAAGATAACTTGTGATATATATGAAAATATCCCCAGATTTGAAGGAAAAAAAAAAAAAATCAAACCTGAAATACTTCTGATCCCAAGCATTTCTGAAAAGGGATCCTTGGCCTATATGGGGGCTTCAATACTGTCTGCTATTTCAAATATCCACTGAGGAGCCTAGAATGTAACTCTGACAGATAAGGGTGGTCTACTGTACAAAGGTAGTACCTATAGCTTAAATGGATTTTCCTTTGCTTTATTCAGGCTGCTCAGTTCTTAAATTCAGGAAATGTAAGACACAGGCTACAGTTTTACATTGGAGAACATTTGCTACCATATAACATGACTGTGTATCAGGCAGTACGGCAATTCAGTATACAGGCTGAAGATGAAAGGGAGTCCACGGATGATGAGAGCAATCCTCTAGGGAGAGCTGGTATTTGGACAAAGACTCATACAATATGGCAAGTGTGAAAATTACTTCTTTTGGTATTTTATGAACTTTGAAAACTGTTCATATGTCTTGGAACTCATATCAAAGTCATGGTGGGCTTTTGTAAGGAAAAGGGTACCTTAAGTTTTAATTATGAAAAGCCACTTCAAGTAATCATGTGCACATTTGTGTGTGTATGTAGCTTCCTCATTCAGTCTACTAGAAAACTTATTCAAGGGCAATAATAAATGACAGTTTACCTTTCTAGATGTATCGCAGTTCTTTAATTGAGACAAAAGTGTTTCCATAAGGTGATATTCCATTAGGTAATAGGAAGTTTGGCATCTTAGACTTCAGAGAGGCATTTGGATGTAGCTTGCTGCATTGCCTGTTAATGTAACTACTTATATTTGAAGAGAGACATTCTTCCAGAGCCACTCTTGGAGAGTCTCAGGTGGCCTCTCCAAGGAAGGTGGTAAATGTGGTCTCTTCTAGGAAGCCATCCCATTGGTAATTCTCTAAATCCAAACTACAGGGAGACAACATAGACTTCACAGAGTTCAGGGAACTGTTTGGTTTTGAGGAATAATTTGCAGTTTTAAAATCTACATTTGTTTTACACACTGCCTTATCATTTTAGGTACAAACCTGTGAGAGAAGATGAAGAAAGTAATAAAGATTGTGTTGGTGGTAAAAGAGGAAGAGCCCAAACAGCTCCAACAAAAACTTCCCCTAGAAATGCAAAAAAGCACGATGAGTTGTGGCATGGTAAGATGATGCATAAAGGGAAAAGGAGTCTTATTGTGTTCATGGTTTTAAATATATGTGAAAAAATATACCTAGTAAAGTCTTATTGAATATAGTTTAGAAATGAATTACTACAAATGGTTTGATTGGTTTGAATCAAATCCTTGACTTCAGTATATAGAAAATGAGAAGTATCCAAAAAACTCATTATTTCATGAAGGGTGAAGCAAATTTCACTAGTAGAACATACTCACTAAAAAAGAGACTGGTGACTGGTTTTGGTAGATTGGCCCTTAATTTTTATTGTCATCGTTATAATGATGTAACCTAACAAATTATAGAAAGACTAAAAAGTGAATGACATGATATAATGGCTATATAATGAAGCACAGTCACTTCCCAAGTGACTTACTTTCCCTTGTAGTAGTACTACAATTTGACACCCTACTCTCACCATATTTTATATGATGGTAAGAATACCTTAGAGTTAAGTAACATAGCCTAACATGGAGCCAATCCCATTACAGTAATGTTCGGATACTGGTTTCCCTGGTCCAAGGATATAAGAGCATTATAGTAATATTGTTCATAAAACTAAGTTTGTTCCATTTAAAGGCTCTTTAAAAGCCAGGCATGGTGGCACATTATTGTAATCCTAGCAGGTCGGGAGGCTGAGGTAGGAGGATTTCAAGTTCAAAGCCAGCCTCAGCAAATTTTCATTTATTTATTTGTTTGTTTGTTTGTTTGTTTGGTGCTGGGGATTGAACCCAGGGTCTTATGCATTTGAGGCAAGCACTCTACCAGCTGAGCTATATCCCCAGCCCAAGCCTCAGCAATTTAGTGAGACCCTGTTTCCAAACAAAAAATAAAAGTTACTGGGATGTGGCTCAGTGGCCCCTGAATTCAGTCCCTGGTACCAGAGGTGGGGGAGAGAATGGAGGGACCTCTTAATTTTGAGATGGTATGGTGTTTTTCTTGGTCTTTAAATAAAAATGTCTTTTTTTTTAGCTGAGTGCAGTGGTACACACCTGTAATCTCAGGGGCTGGGGAGGCTATCTTGAGGCAAGAAGATAGAAGGTTCAAAGCCAGCTTCAGCAACAGCAAGACCCTAAGAAACTCAGTGAGACCCTGTCTCTAAATAAAATCCAAAATAGGGCTGGGTATGTGGCTCAGTGATTGAGTATCCCTGAGTTCAATCTTGGTAAACCTCATCCCCCCCCGCAACAAAAAACAACAACAACAACAAAAAACTTTAAAAAAATATTTTTAGTTGTAGATGGCAGAATAACTTTATTTTATTTATTTATATTTATGTGGTGTGGAGGATGGAACCCAGTGCCTCACACGCTAGGCAAGTGCTCTACCACTAAGCTATAACCCTAGCCCCAGCGTCTTTTTTTTTTTTTTTTAAATAGAGTGATGTTGGGATTTTTCATTTTTTCACTTTGTAAAAATAAATGACAATTGTTTCACTATATTCAGACCTTATTTTTTTTTTAAATGCAGTTATTAAAATCTAAGAACAAAGGTACTGTGGATCCTACTTAAGAACTATCATAATCTCTTCATACTCCTAAACCTTGGATTAAGTAACTAAATCTCTTTTACTAGTACAATTTAGGGATATTTATCTGTCTTATGTGACAGTTTTAAGTTGTATATGAAAAATTCAGGATATTTCCTTAACAGACAACTTAGGTTTAATAAGTCTGTTTTTATTGTTAATTGCCATTTCTGGTATAAAGGAGAGATGTAAATGAGTTTGTTTTCTGTTTTATATTGAGTATTGGTATAAGCCTGGATATTTTATGTAGAAGATGAAAAGGAGAAAGTAACTGTGTTTTGATACCTTAACAGTAGTAAGATCAAGAATTAAATGACATAGCTTCTGGCTGCTGTTTTAGCCCTGCATCCACTGGCTTAATAGTTGGAACTTTAATTAAAACTTAAACTTTGGTCTTTTATTCTCTAGATGGAGTTTGCCCATCAGTATCAAATCCTTTAGAAGTTTACCTCATTCCCACACCACCTGAAAATATAACCTTTGAAGACCCATCATTAGATGTGATCCTTCTTCTAAGAGTTTTACATGCCATCAGTCGATACTGGTATTATTTGTATGATGTGAGTAATGTTACCTAAGAAGTTCTTATGGTCTGTTATTCATGACCTATTATCTCATGGGTTTTGTTCAGTTATAAATGTGTTAACCTAGAAACAGTGATTCAGCTAGCTAAACGCAAGGATCCTAGCCTAGTGAAGTACAACATACCTGTTCATGGAAACTTTGTCCCCACTTTTATTTTTCCTGTATTACATTCTTGGATTAGTTATCTTGGCTTTAGGAAATATTCTCTAGGTATAAATTTATTAAATTAAAACATGAAAATTAACCTTGAATTTAATAGCTAAATTTTTTTCAGTACATTTAGCCAAATTTTCATTTATTGAAGTTATGGTGTATATCAAGTAAAATGTTGGGTTGCAGTTGCATGCTGCTTTTGATATTTACATAATATGTAGGGGAGAGAGGAGGAGTTGGCCTCTATTGAGCCCGTACCTGTGGCTTCATGGGAGTGGGCTGAGGGTAGTCTCAGCATTGTGTCATAGGAATTCTTTAAATTAGGACAGTCTAGTAAGAGGCTGTATGTTGGAAACTCAGAGGTGAAACCTAGGTGCTCTGCATACGTTTTGTGATGAAGGAATTGTAAATATAATCTTAATGTTTTACTACATGTAGACTTTTGTTTGTTTTTAACATTTTACAGAATGCGATGTGCAAGGAGATTATTCCAACTAGTGAATTTATTAACAGTAAGTTGACAGCAAAAGCAAATAGGCAGCTTCAAGATCCCTTAGTAATCATGACAGGAAACATCCCAACATGGCTTACTGAGCTAGGAAAAACCTGGTAAGACAATTACTTTTTACTGGTCCTATGAATGTTATTGAGCTGGTGTTAATATATTTTATTACAGAATTATTGTCTTCAGTGGATCTCTTTATTAACATTGTCATATTTAATCACAACTTACATAGTAGTATAGCTTTATCATACAAACTAGTCAAGCTGCCGCTGGTATTAGTTCTCTCTGAAAGTATGTGTCTAAATTAAATGTGAAATGGGAAAAACCTGAAGATACTTGATTGAGAAAAGTCAAATCTTCTGCCATCATAAAATTAAGACTCCAAAAGTGTAGTTGCTTACTTCTATTTGAACCTATTTGATCCAGAGGCTGTAAACCTACACTGATAAATACAATGTCCACTCATCAAGTGTGGCTATTTACATTGAAATTATTCCAGTGAAATAAAATTAGAAATTGATTTTTTTCAGTGGCATCAGCCACATCTTTACATGGCTGCTGTACTGGACAGAACATCTGATACAGAACATTTAAGTTTGCATAGGGAGTGCTCTTGACAGCAGTATCAGGGACTCCCAAGACCTACATCAAGAGGTGGCCAGACCCTGGTGCAATAGTGCTGCAGCATTTATTCTTTGAAAATGAGTGCTGCCTTTGACAGTTTTGATGAGTTAAACAAAGACCAAAGCTGGAAGGAAAAAATAATGAAAATATTTAAATAATAAAAATATTATTAAATCTATCATTTATGTCTATGAGGCATAGTAGGGGTGGGTAGGTTTGCTGAATTCACTTTTCACGGGGCGGGCATTGATAGCCTTATGAAGTGGTGGTGGTCTTTAAAATTTACTGAAATCCTTGGGGAAGATTAAAGATGATCCTGGATAGACTTGATGTAAGTGTGGGAATTTAAGGTTAAATTTTAGGTTTTTATATTAGGCCATTTGTATCACTTGGCACTTAGAAATTTCAGCAAGAGCTGGGTGAGGCATCGTGTGCCTCATCTATTTTGGAGGCTGGTATGAGGGTTGCTTGAGCTCAGGAGTTTGAAAACAGTTTGGGCAATATAGTGAGACCCTGTCTCAAAAAACTTCAAGATTAATGAAATTCGTTATTTTGCTTAGACTACTTTATTGGTTCTATTTATAATTATTACTTTGATTATATGAGAAGTTGTTTCTAATACAGATTACTTAATGACTTGTCATTCTTATCCAGACTATAAATTTATTTTGCATTTTTTTTTACAGCCCATTTTTCTTTCCTTTTGATACCCGGCAAATGCTTTTTTATGTAACTGCATTTGATCGGGACCGGGCAATGCAAAGATTACTTGATACCAACCCAGAAATCAACCAGTCTGATTCTCAAGATAGCAGAGTTGCTCCTAGATTGGATAGGAAAAAAGTAAGTATCTCCCAAAATACTCAACATGAGCTTTTCAAAATCATGAGAATATTAGAAATGGTGGCATACCAAATTATGTCTGTTGAATCAGATCCATTGATCCTTTTCACTTCATTAACAAACCACTCTCTGTACCAGTCAGCTCTAGTGTTGCTGACTTTGTCTCCTGCACTTTTAATCTTTACTCCAGAGTCATGACTGAGTTACAGTGCCGAGACCCAGTCCTACATCTTAACCAGCACTGCCTTTTACTTATTATTTTTCTGTTCATTTCCCTCTTCTGCTGAAGATTCAAGTATCTGTTCCAAAAGGCTTTATCTCCAAAATGCTCATAGGACCTATTAGCCATTACATAAAGAAGTCTCTGAGGACTGTGGGAGGAGTCTGTGATGAGAAACAAAGGAAATAAGATATTGTACTTAAAATCATGTTATTTTTGTTTTAATTTGTCTCAGGATTTCCTAAACAGTGGTGATGACGCCATACTTTAGTATGCTGACTATGGCAGGTCAGAACCAGTAGGTTTCCAGCTTACTACCTGTCTCATCTGCCATCTCCATGCCTTTTTTTTTTTTTTTCAATCTTCTAAGGATAAATATGCATAGGGCTGCAGCTCTGGATTGTATTGATGTTAGGGTTACAGAGATCTTTTTTCCTCCAACTTGAATTTTCTGTACTTATCATGGGCTCTAGATAGATTCGTTACTAAATTTGAATCTAGTTTTTCTTTACATATGCCAGGATGCTGTTGATGTTTGTAGCAACGTAACTACTTTTTAACCTTTCCTAGAGTGTGCGTTTAAAGAAATAATTTTTAACAGTTTGGGTTCTCTTGCCCTTCAGGAAATGCCACCTAGTGATTAAAGTGCATTGTCAGTAGAGTGTAATGGTTTGCTCATGTCTGTACTTTCTTTGTAGCGAACTGTGAACAGAGAGGAGCTGTTGAAACAAGCTGAGTCTGTAATGCAGGACCTGGGCAGTTCACGGGCCATGTTAGAAATCCAATATGAAAATGAGGTGAGCTTTTAAGTGTAGTGATGGTGTTCAGCTTGACTTGTGCTCTGGATAACTTGTCATTTGAGTTTCTTAATGCTAAGAAGTTGTGAAAGGCAATTGGGAAGGAAATTCACGCAAAACACTTAAGATGTACTCTATTTTCTCCTAAATGATTTGTTCAGAGCTCTCTTTTTCAAAAGTTCAAGTGTGTGATTAAAAACATGCTCCTCACCCCCATTCCCACATTAAAGCATATTTGTGCAATCTTTAAGTTCGTGAAATGAACAGCTATTTTAAGGATCTAATGACTTCAGAAATGCTTGACTGCTTTTTTTAAAAAAATCAGGTTTACTGAGACATAAAAGTAAATTGTACGCTTTTCAATTGTATAATTCTAATAATTAGTGGATGGGTAGTCTAACCACCACATCAGGATGAACGTCTGCCATTACCCTAAGTTTCATCAGATCACTTTGCTATAAGTTCCCCTTCTCATCCTCTGTTCTAGCAGTGTTGGTCTATTTTCTGACCCTGTAAATTTTGCTTGTTACCAGCTCAATAAATGCTGGCAACAAGCAAAGTCATGTAGTATGTGTGTGATTTTCTTTGACTTGGCAATCATGCTTATGAGATCCATCCATGTTGATGCATTTATCAGTTTATTTTTCTTTATTATTGAGAGTAGTCCATCATACAGATGGACCATAATGTTTACTAATCACCAGTTGATGTACATTTGAGTACTTTTCAAATTTAACTTGAACATTGTGTTCAAGTCCTTCTGTAGACATGTATTTCTAGTTATTTTGGGTAAATTTTTCAGAATTGAATTGCTAAGTCATTTGGTAAGACATGTTTTAATTTCTTAAGTAATATTAAACATGTATAAGTTCTAGTTGCTTCCCATGCTTACTCATACTTGGTATTCTAGAGTTTTATAGTGATTACTTACTATGGCTTTAATTTGCATTTACCTGATGGTTAATGATATTGATGACCTTTTTATTGCTTTTTGGTCACTCCATATATCTTCTTTGGAGAAGTGCCCAAGAATTTTGTCCAAGTTTTCATTAGTTTTTTTGTTTTATCATGTTCCTTTTTCTGGATTCAAATCTTTGGTAAATAAATAGTGTGTAGTTATTGTCTTTCATTTTGTGGCAGTTGTTTTCATTTCCTTAGAGTGTTTTTGGAACAGCATAAGTTTTTAATTTTTATCCAATCTAGCTTATCAGTTTTCTTTTTCTGGTTTATGCCTTTCTTTCACTCTAAGAACTTCTCCCCTAAACCATACATTAAGTTAACTTTTAAATATGGTTTTAAGGGTTGAGGGTTTTGTCCTCCCCAAGACTATTAACTAACATCGTTCATTGAAAAGACCATTTTTTCCCCTATGAATTACCTTAGCACACATCTGTTGAAAATCAAATGACATGAATTTTTGAGTCTCTTTCTAGATGTTCTATTCATTTCTGTCATTCTGTACCATCTTGATTAATATAACTTTATATAGTATCTTAATTGGGTAGTGTAAGTCCTCCAATTTCTATTTTCTCTTTCACAGTTGCTTTCGTTACTCTTAGTGTTTCCATAAATTTAAGTAAGCCTAAACACACATCGACAGGGTTCTGATTAGATTCTGTTGAATTTTGATCTTTTTGGAGAGAAGTGACCTGGTCACAGTACTGTTCCTTCTGATGTAAGAACATGGTGTAGCCATTCACTTATTTAGGTCTTTAATTTTTCTTTGTATTACTTTATAATTTCATTGTCTAAAATGGTGTTTAAAAATATTACTGTTCTTTCATTTCAGTTTTCAGTTTGTTGTTGGTTTATGGAAATACATTTTGAGTTTTTGTGTATTGATCTTGTTTTCTGTGACAGTCATAAACTTTATTATTTTTAACAGATCATTTAGGATTATTGTAGACCCAGGACTTGGGAAACTTCTGTTAAATACCAGACAGTAATTATTTCAAATTTTGGGGTCTCATGGTATCTATCACAATGGACTTGTAAAAGTCACAAGGCATTATATAAGTGAATAAGCTTGGCTGTGTTCCAGTTAAACTTAGTGGTTACAAAATTTGAAGTTCAAAATCATTTTCACACATCTTGAAATACTATTCAAGATTTTTTTTTAACTGTTTAGAAATGTAGCAATAATTCTTAGTATGCAAACATTACAAAAACAAGCATTACAAGAACACAACAGAGCTGTGATTCGACCACCAGCAGTAGGTTTCTGACCTGTATTGTAGACAGCCGTGATGTCCGTGAATAAAGATGGCTTTACTTCCTCCTTTCTAAGCTTTTTGGTAGGTAAGACAGTACAACAAAAGCTTTAAGTAAGTAATGCCTTTTTTTTTGTATATTTTAACTACAAATAATAAAAATAAGAGACTTGTGTTCTCTGAAGGTCTTATGGTTTAAAACTAACGAACTTCCCCTACCAATTTACAGTAGCAGACTGCTTTGCCCTTTAGTTTCCTTATCTGTAAAAAGTGGGTAGTAGTACAGTCTCAAAATTGTGATGAGTTCATTTACCTTAAGAGTTATGAAATACATGGTAAGTACTTTATCTGATAGATTTAACAGTTAACCCACAGTATTGTCTGTAGATATCCAGGTAGTTTAAATCATGACTTTCCCATCATTTTTTCCTCCTCATTAAAACTTGAACATTCAATCACCAAAATTAAAACTTAAGTTGTTGTTCACTGAGTAGTATATAGCATGCTAGTGATCCAGGATGTTACAGAATTTTCACACTCAAAAGATTACAGTGTAGCTGGGGAGGCACAGGACAAAAGCACAAAAGTGTGAGTGGCAAGTGAGTGGTATGGGTGCCAAGTGATAAGGCTTTCACACTCTAGGGGTCCTGTCTTGGCGATATGGGGAAGGGCTTATGGGAAAATAAGCTGTTTAGTTAGACCTTAGTGGAGTGATGGGGGGTGGTGGGGGCACTGGCTTCCAGCAGTAGGTGGGGCTGAATCATAGATGGGGAGAGGTGGTAATTGGTGAGTTCTGCTCTGGAAGTGTCATTTTGTTTTCCATCCCTCCCCATCTTGGCTTTTGCTCAGAGAATATAGTTCTTATATGTTTACATATTCTCGTTTCTTACTTAAATGCTGCAAAACCTTTGCTCTAACCAACTTGGTGTGCTTGCTTTGTTTAAACATGCTTTCTATTTTTTTATTCCAACATACTTTTCTCTCGCCAGGAATATCTTTTCCATTCTTCATGGTTCTGTTCAAATTGCATCTTACATGAAACATAAACAAGCTCAGAATGGCCTCACACTGACTGTTCTAAGACCAGGATTGAAATGCTGGTGCAGAAATCAAGGTTCTATGATCTTCCTTGATGGGTCTTACCTATTGCAGGACCTGGCTTCACTGGGGGAGGAGGTGGTCCCCCTATCCTTTAAGCACTGGCTTTAAAGATGCATAGGGCTGTGAAGCTGTGAATCATAATCAGCTGTAGAAATTACTTAGGAAGATTTTATGACTAACTCCAGAAGAATTCTAATCTGAAATATCACATCAACATCACTTGAATCTTTAATTGGAATGATAAGTAAGCCAGGGAAGAATCAATCAATCTCTGGGCTTCAAAAGCCATCCAGATCCTAGGACTTAAGTCTACAAAACACTTGGTCTCCTTGGGATGGTGAAAGGTTGGGGGCATACATTGAAGTCTGGTGTCTCTACTTACTGTATATTTAGGCAAGTTCCATAAACTCAGCATTGTCCTTATCTCAACCATGAGTATAATACAAGCATCCACCTTGTCATATTGTTAGAATGATTAATGATCTAGAAGATGTAAATCAGGTAGAACATTGTCTGTTGTATGGGAAGTATTTTTGAGGGGAAAAGACTTGGGTTTGAAGGCAAATTGTCAGCTTTTATGTGTTTTTGTTTCTAGAGCCTTAGAGTTTCCTTCCTTTAAAAACAGAAATGAATCAAAACCTTTTTCACAGAGAGACTGGGTAGAAATTGTTGTCTAGAAAGGTCTGTGTGATCTAGAGAGTGCTGGGTAGCCCCAGGTGGGCCATGTGTTGCCCGTGCAGTTATCACCTAGGCCTTCTTCCCCTGGAGACTCATGAAGGAAGCACCTTCAGTTATACCCATGGGATTTAATGTTTTAAGTTAAGTCTGTTTTAGTATTTGGACAAAAGAAATAGACTAATTGAATCAGTGACTACTTCTTAATATAGGATAATTTTATACCAAAAGAGAAGGAATTAACTAGTTTTAAAGCACCCCATCTGGTGGATGCCAAGTATTACTGCAGGGTTTTTTGCTTTTTCTTCCTTTCCCTCTCCTCTTTCCTCTAGTGCCTTGGATTTAGTGGAAAATGAAGTATACAAGGCTGCTATTGTTATAGAGCATTTCTTTTGTTTGAGGAAGGCTGACATACATTCATGTACACATGTGTTAGGCTGGGTGGTCAAGTGATGTTAAGGGTAGTATAAGGTGACTTTTGAGCGCCATGTGAGAGAAGAGTGGCTATGGCGCCCTTGGGGGGGGACACACAACAGTGAGGCAGTATTCCTGGCCTGTTGGACAATGGGAGTGATTAGAACATTATGAGCAAGGGTAGAGTCAAGGTAGAGTAGTGAGGGTCAGTGATCAGAGATGTTGGGAGGAAGCAGGAGAGAAATCATAGGATGTCAGACCACAGTGAGAATTTTGCTTCAGGTAAGGTAGGAAAGCATCAGGATGTGAAGGAGTGCTGTGGGCTTCTGTTGCTTCTGTTTGCTAATGTTCTGTCTTGCCCTGTGAGAATAGGGTGTTGGGTTGGGAATGCCATTACAGAAGTCATTTATCTTATCTAACAGTAGACAAGATAAGAGAAAAGGCAGTTGGGTCAGGTTGCCAATTATTTTAAACTATTGAGAGCAGAGCTTAGTGTGTGGACTGTGGGAAGTAAGGAAGAAGAGAGCCAAGAATGGCTGCAAGGTTTCCATTGGAGCTTGCCTTGTGGGATGACTAGTGATGCCATTTACCAATGTGGAATCCTAACAGGGGTGGCGGTTAATCAAGTCATCTTCATGATCCACCTGATCACCATTTTGAAAATCGGTTAACTCTGGTGACTGCATTTAATCTTTTAATCTGTTTTATTTCATTTTTTAAAGTAAATATAGCCAGGCATGGTGGCACACACCCATAATTCCAGTGGCTTGGGAGACTGAAGCAGGAGGATTGCAGGTTGAGAGCCAGGCTTAGTGAGGCTCTAAGCAACTTAGCTAGACCCTGTGTCAAATTAAAAAAATAAAGGGCTGAGGATGTTGCTCGGTGGTTGGGTGCCCTGGGGTTCAATCCCTGGTGTCCCCCCCACCCCCCAAAAAAGGGTAAATGTAATAAGGTAAATATTGCCCTTGGTGTTGTCCACACTGATACTTGGGAAGCTACGGGGTGAGGTGCCCAGAGAGTTCCAGTCACAGGAACAGTGGTGAAGCTGAGAGCTTTTGAGAAGCAGAGAGAGAAGCCTGGAAGAGGAGGGGTCCTGGCCATGTGGGCTGGCATTTGGCTGTACTGTGTTGGCCAGCCTAAGGTGCGGAGGGAAGCAGCTGATCTGATTTGACTTTATATTATAGAGAATTTTGAGCATACATATGAGTCTAATGAATCCCTCCACCTTGGCCAGCCCACCCCATCCTCATTCCCACCCATGTCTCCCTCTTCTGTGTTAAAGTAAAGCAAAGCCCAGACATTCTGTGGTTCCACCTATAAATTTATATTTCAGTTTGTATCTCTAGCAGACAGAGGCTTTTAAAAATAAAACTACCATTCATTATCATATCTAAAAAATAATAAAAATTCCTTAACATTATCACAACATATCCAGCCAGTGTTCACATCTCTCCATTGTCTCATAAAAGTCATGTTTATTTTTTTTAAATAGTGCCTTTTGTTTACACAAACTATAAGTGAAATGTAGCCTTCTTGACAGATTTCAGTTAGGCTATAAATTGTGATGTGAACTTGTCATTAGCTGCAGTCTTTTCTTTATGATCTGAGTTGGTAGGATCTTGTTAGAACATGAAGAAGTGATGAGGCTGTGAACACTGCCCTAGGCATGTTCATTTCATGCATCTTGTGGAGTAATGGCTTCGTTCAAGGCTGCATGGATACTTTTGGAGCTTATTTTTTAAATGCCACTATGCAGGCACTAAACCAGATCAAAATCTTATATGATGTGGCTTCCCCTCCATTGTGAATGATGATAAAACTCTTAGGAACTTGAATATACTGTGGGGGCTTAAAAAGCACTTAAAAGTGTCTTGTCTGTTGGCCCTGTAGTTGCTAAGGATCCAGACCTTCCTTATTTGTATTTCCGCTACCATAAGTTTTGCACTATAGGGGATGCGAAGTGACTGAAATATATTTTCATGTGAAATATGTAAATATGTAATGAAGTTTTGGTAAAGTATTGCAATAAGTGCTGAAATGTAACCCCTGAGATGAAGGGGACATACTGTTTGGCAGTAGACAGGGAAGCTTCCCCTGAGAAGGTGATATTTGAGTTTGTTCACCAAAGAGAAAAATGGGGAAGACATTTATACCCAGACAATGCAGTGTTGTTCCCTGAAAGCAAGACATACAACTGTGGCATTATCATCAGTACTTTTATCAGTATATGTTCAATTAGGACATTTGGAAAATCTCTAATACATCCTGGTAAACAGTTGTCGTTAGTGTCCAAGTTGCCAAGAAATTGGCTGGTGGGAGGGAAATAAAGAACCTTAATTTCTAAAATTTGAAATCAGTTGGCCAGGCATGGCAACATACCCCTGTAATCCCAGTGACTACAGGAGATCAAGGCAGGAGTATTTTACGTTCAGTGCCAGCCTCAGCAACTTAGTGAGATCCTGCCTCAAAATAAAAAGGGCTGGGGATGTAGCTTCGTGGTGAAGTGCCCCTGGGTTCAACTCCTAGTAACAAAACAAAACAAAAACCTAAAAGATAAAATCCTGAAATCATTTTACTTTCATTTTTGTAGGTTGGTACTGGTCTTGGGCCTACACTGGAGTTTTATGCACTTGTATCTCAGGAACTACAGAGAGCTGACTTGGGTCTCTGGAGAGGTGAAGAAGTAACTCTTAGCAATCCAAAAGGTAATTTAATCTGTGAGTCAGCGAGTATGTTATTCAGGTAATGGAATTACAGTTTATGAAATAAATTTAATTTCTATTGAACCATGTTCTCTGCCCTTGCTTTCTTTTAGCGTTTATTTTTTTCTCATTAACCAAACAGGGAAGGTCCTTCAGCTCTAGAGGACTTATTCAGTAATCTGCTCTCCAGTTTTGAGAACCCTGAATTTCTTAAGTGTTCTTAGTTACGAGGTTTTTGGTTTGGTTTGGTTTGGTTTGATTTTGGAAATATCATCTGAAGTTGGTGAATTGCTCGTTTTACAGGAAGCCAAGAAGGGACCAAGTATATTCAAAACCTCCAGGGCCTGTTTGCGCTTCCCTTTGGTAGGACAGCTAAGCCAGCTCATATCGCAAAGGTTAAGATGAAGTTTCGCTTCTTAGGAAAATTAATGGCTAAGGCTATCATGGATTTCAGATTGGTAAGTTTAGGATTATTTGTTTTTCTACAATTTTGATGTACAGTGTTATGTTAAAGTACCTTAGTCCCCTGCACTCAATGCTATATTTTCAGCACTGCTTCTCAAACTCTAAGGTGCATATGGATGAGTGGAGATTTTATTAAAAATGTGAGTTCTGATTCAGTAGGACAGTAGTGAACTGTCTGACTGCCCAAGACAGTTTCAGAGCAGCATCTAGAGGATGTCCAGTTCCACTGTGGACCACTTCTTTAGTAGTCAAGGGTTCAGACAATCAGGCAGCATTACTAATAACATTTAATTATATTTTTAAAATTCTTTGACATTGCATTTTTAATTTTAAGCATGAACACATAGCTGAACCTTGTTAAATTTTCATTAATGTGCTCTTGTGAAAATAACTCAGTATTCATGGAGGTTTGAATATTTCTGGACTTTTCTTCATTTCCTCTTACAATTTCTGAGACAACTTTATCAGTATATGTAAGACATTTTCATCTGATGTCAAATTCGCAAGCTTACATTTCTGAGTATGGACAATTTATCAGTTATTTTAGAAGTTCCATTGTTTTTCTGTTTAAATATAATGAGTTCTTCACTTAAATCCCTTGTTTCATAATTTGGTAATACAAACTACAGTGGAATTGAGTTTACTTGACTCAAAATAGAGTAAAATTCCTCTAAACACCTTTTGGTATTTCACAGGCCGTCATGTAAAACGCGTTATAGAGAATATATGTCCACCATTGGAAGATTCCTTTTTAGCGCTAGTGTTTACTGAAGTCTTTTTTTTTTTTTTTTAAGGTATTTGTGTCTCTTTTTTTTTTAATATTTACTTTTCAGTTTTTGGTGGATACAACATCTTTGTTTGTATGTGGTGCTGAGGATCGAACCCGGGCCACATGCATGCCAGGCAAGCACGCTACCGCTTGAGCCACATCCCCAGCCCTGAAGTCTTAATCATTCTGAATTCCTTTGCAATGATTAGGGCACTGAATTGAAGTATTCAATTTCATGTAATGGGAGAAAACAGTTCCTACGTTATTTTCTTTCTTGGGCATTATTTGACCTTTAAAATGATCTCTAGAAGTGCCTCTTAGAGATTTGAGGTAATTCCAGAAGCTCATTAAGTGTTTTGCATGTTCTGTTTCAGGTGGACCTTCCCCTCGGCTTACCCTTTTATAAGTGGATGCTACGGCAAGAAACTTCATTAACATCACACGATTTGTTTGACATAGACCCTGTTGTAGCCAGATCGGTATATCACCTAGAAGACATTGTCAGACAGAAGAAAAGACTGGAACAGGATAAATCCCAGGTAGGCTTAGTAGAGGTGGTTAAGAGGATCAATTCTTTATTTTAGGAAGATCAGTCATTGATAAGTGGTTTGTAATTGAACCAGTTGTTTTATGTTGAACTTTTAATAGAGATTGTTTAATAATATTTTTATACTAAGTGAAATGTACTATTTTATAGTAGGCCAAATAATCTATAACAACAGCAAGTAATTAGTAACAACTTGATTTCCAAATAAAATATCCTTCCAAACAAATGATAAATAAAAACCTTGTTTATTGACTATATAGACTGAAATCTAGAGATTTCAGAAAGGTCTCTTTGAAGGTCCACTATTTCTTGGGAGCACAGGTTGAGGTTTCTCTGTTATATCTCATGGATAATCTGAAGTTTCATATCATTACTATATTTTTATGTACATATTAACAAATTTAAAAAGTCATTTGGTGCAATCTGAGATTAATAGCAGTTCTGTATCTGGTATTATAAGAAAATAAGGTTGTCTTGTTTTAAAAGTGTCACAGTCCCAGATAGCTTCTATCTGGGCAGGTAACATAGACCAGTGTTTTGTTAAATCAGCTCTCTTCATAAAAAGTGTAGAAAGTGGAGAGTAACAATTGTGTTTCTGAATCAAGGGGGAGTGTCAGTTGTCTTCATGAGTTAGAAAGGAGCATACAGAAGAGGGTTGGGGTTTTAGAGTGCTTTTTTTTTTTTTTTTTTTTTAATAGGGGAAATGATTGGTAAGGAGCTTCATTTTTGTTTCCCAAATTGGTAATTATTTTTTTAAAAATATTTTTTAGTTGTAGTTAGACACAATACCTTTACTTTATTTATTTACTTTTATGTGGTGCTGAGGATTGAACCCTAGCCCAAGTGATTATTAAGTGATATTTTCTTGGAAAAATGGTTATTAAGAGAAACTAGCATTTAAAGAATGCAAGCCCATTTTTTTATTCCCCATACAAGGTCTGATGTGTTAGAATTTTTAGAACAGTTTAGGTTTACATTGACCAATTTAGCAAGTTTTAAAGAACTGCAGTGTTGTTTAGGATAGGGTCATAGGTAAATAATGCCCCTGCCTTTCTCTCTAAAAAAGGAGGAGGAGGGAAGAGGTAAAACTGTGGCACATTCCAGGTGCCTTACACGTATGAATTTCTTTAATCCTCACAACAAACCTGTGAGAATTAGGTATTGTTGGTGTCTCACTTTACAGGTGGAAAATGGAAGGGCAGATAGGTTAAAGCTGGAACTTAAGCCCAGGCTGTTAGATATCCTTGTCAGAGACCATGTGCTACCACAGCTCTCTTCATAGTGCTTTACTTTTGATATTTGTTCTTTTATCCTTTATTATTCCTGATGGTTGTCAGTTTAAAAGTATAAAACTGCATAGTACAAATTCTGTACTCCAGAAATTGACTTATTGTATTAACCAACTTTCAGCCAGAGAGTGAGAAATGGCCACATTCTGAAATATCCTATCCTGTTATTTTATAAAGTATACAGATGAGGCTGGGCATGGTGGCGCATGCCTGTAATCCCAGCAGCTTGGGAGGTTGAAGCAGGAGAATCATGAGTTCAAAGCCAGCCTCACCAAAAGTGAGAGGCGCTAAGCAACTCAGTGATACCCTGTCTCTAAATACAAAAGAGGGCTGAGGATGTGGTTCAGTGGTCGAGTGCCCCTGAGTCAATCCCTGGTATCCCCATCCCTGCCCAAAGTATATAGATGAGGCAGATTGTTTTGGCTCAGATTCTCCCTGGTAGTTAAATTCTCAAAAGTTACACGGAAAAGGTGCTAAAACTTAGCTTTCAATTTAATATATGAGGTCTAGATAACAGTAAATTTCTTGTAAACATCCTGGATGTATTTGTGTATTGTGGATTCCTATCCTATGCACTTTGTTTGTGTTGCATGCCTACATAATAAATAGATATGAGGGAAGAGACTTAGATTGGAATAATAGTGACTGGAGGTATAGGGACAGTCTTGACTTTCTAGTGGGTGACTATAAACTAATACCTCCTTTAATTTTTTAAAAAAATTGTTTTGTTGACAAAAAGATGTGAATGAAAAAGCCTCTGGGAGTCCTCAAGTAATGGATAAAAGCTTAACATGGGTCTTGTTTTGGTGGGAAAGTAAAAGTGCACATAACTCTCAACAACTACATTTCCTCTTAAATCTTAAGTAACGTGCTACTTCCCTTTTCAATTCCTTCTCAATTATCTAGTATCCTAATAACTTTCCTAAACAGTTTTCGTTTCCTTCCTTCCTTTCTCTTCCTCCACTTCCTCACTTCCTCTACTGGGGACTGGGATTTGAACCTGTGGCCTTGTGCATACCAAGGAAGTATTCTACCACTAAGCTATATTCCCACCCCAAGTTTCCTCTTTAAAAAAGTAATATAGTAGTCAGAACTTCCTAGCCTTTTGCAGTTTGAATAAGTGATTTTTCTGCACCATAATCGCTTATGCACAGAGGCACTTCTACTCTGGAAAGCCATTTGCCTTTTACTTCTCTATAGAATGTCTTTTATTTTCAGACAAAATGTGCATTCTTGCACATTGGTCTTTGATGCTTGATCTGATTAACAGTATTTTATGTAGAGACCTTTTAAAAAATGAGTAATAGTCTGTTTTTATTTTCAGAGTATGATTCAACTTTTCTTAGGATTTTCTTGGAAGCTTCTTTCTTCATCACAGCATTACTGTATGAATACAAATTGGTTATGCTTGGAGGCCAAAAGTAGTTGAAGGAAGCATCTTCAAAGTGTTCTTTAGAGTTGAGCTTTGCAGTGTGTGTGTGTGTATTAAATAGTACATTCTCTATATTTACAATTTTCCAACTGTATTATTCATTATGTGCTATCTATTTGGTTTATCAAGATTAGCTTAGAATTTACAAAAGGTTTATCTGGGTTTTTCTGGTTCACTCTTCAGATCAGCTATTACTCAAACTGTAACAGACTGTGTGAAATTTGATTTGTATATGCTTAAAGCAAGCAACAGTATCTCTCTGTAGAGGATCCTCCAGCAATCTTGTTTCCTAATCCAACAAAGGTTGGATTCTATGGTGCTTAACAAACTTTTTTATGATCTCAGATTACAGTGACTTGGTCATGTGTAGAGTATGTCTAAAAATAAATGAGTAAATAGGTTTAAGAGATGGAGAAAAAAACTCATCATCTGTATTGGATTATATTTTAACAGTGAACTCTTGTGTTTGACACCTTTTTTTTTTTTTCTTCCTACCCTGAAGACCAAAGAGAGTCTACAATATGCATTAGAAACCCTTACTATGAATGGCTGCTCAGTTGAAGATCTAGGATTGGATTTCACACTACCAGGGTTTCCCAACATCGAACTGAAGAAAGGAGGGAAGGATATACCAGTCACTATCTACAATTTAGAGGAGTATCTAAGAGTGCGTAATCATGTATCTTTTGGGGAACAGGTCAGCTGTGGGGATTAGGACTTTGCCTCTTGTACTCCCATGAAGGGGGAAGAGAAGGGACCTCATTCAGTGAAGCCAGTTCATTTGGCTTCTGCCTACATGGACCGTCGCTTAAGCGAAACCTTCCCTGTTCTCAGACCATTCATGAAGGCCACTTTTCAGGTCTTAGCTTCTGTTTGCTGTTTAGAGAACATACCAGATATCTCTTTATGCCTTTTATAACCTAAATTACCTATCCTCAAGCTTGGATATAATGCAGTTATACCACATTCCCTTGAAGAAAAAAAAATCCATAATAAGGAGCTGTCACTTATGTTCTCATTACTGTGTTTCTGCCTTTCCTTCAAAGCAACTAGATTGACAAAAATGCCTCCAAAACATACATGTGTATGTACGTGTGCACACATACACTCTGTTTGGTAAGACGATCAGATTATTAACTTGTGGGCCTTGTCTATTATTTGCTAAATTGAGGAAAAGTAATTTTATATCAAAGTTAAGTTTACATTACCAATGTTAGAAGAATTTGTTTTGATTGTATCCTGACACTGGGTGGAAATAGCACTTGTTTCAAGCCAGAATATCTATATACACCTAGGCCTCACTTTTATATACCATCTTGGCTGTGGACAGCTAGCTTATTTATCAAGTTCAAAGAAAGAGAAAACATAGATTAAATAATATCCAAGCTCCCATTACCCATCAATTTTATAATCTCTAACTAATTTTAACAGGTAGTAGGACTATTTCTTGTACTAACTGTGAAAGAAATTACTAGCAAATAAATAATGTGTAATAATGCTTGTATTTTTCTATCAGCAAAACACTAATGTTTTCATTTCTATCTGAATATGTTCTCTTTCTGTAGCCAATGGATTAGCCAGGGCTGTTGATAGCTAGATTTGCTTTTTCTTACCCTTAATTTTTATGTACCTGCATGCCCAGGTTCTGCCTATTTCTGAGAGGAAGCATACACTGCAGAAAGGTTGGGTCTCCAGAACTTAACTACATTTAAAACTAAGCATTCCACTTTGAAAATCCTTAATAGTTGCTAATTTTGAATCTTGAAGTATTGTCTTTAATTCTTGATAGAAAATTCTTACTAACTTCTTATCTGGTAAGGTTATGTAAGTATACTGTAGGGTTTTACATAAATGAATTTTTAAAACACATTACATGTAAATGCATTGTCCCATCCCTACCAACACACACCCCATTTTCAAAGCCTGAAGTTGACCTGACCTTTTCCTCATGCAGTTTTCTGAGAGGTAGTTTCAAGACTGAACAGCATGGTTTTGTTGTTGTTGTTTCTTTTTAAAAATGATCCATAAAGGCAGTTTACTTTATATTGCCACATATTAAATAGTAGAAAGACATAAAATTTTGTTTTTAAAATACTTCTCTGTTTGCAGCTGGTAATATTCTGGGCACTAAATGAAGGCGTTTCTAGACAATTTGATTCGTTCAGAGATGGATTTGAATCAGTTTTCCCACTCAGTCATCTTCAGTACTTCTACCCAGAGGAAGTGAGTAGCTTATGTCTAAAGAAATGTCCATTTCTTGTTTTGTACCTATAATTATCTTAGTAGAATGTTTATATGCTATCTAATTAAAGACCCTGTTGTTTAAAAAAGGGGAAAAAATGGGGTTTGGGAGCAGGGTCTAGAATTTGGGAAAAGACAAAAATATTAAATTGGTGTCCCCTCTAGGAGAGGGGAGTGGGTCCTGATGCAATAGGGTAGGCATAATATCTCTGTCAGTAGTCATCCTTGATGCTCTTGGTAGAGAATGGGACTTGGGGTGTATGAGGCATACTCTGCAGGTCAGGCTGCAGGGACATTCTCACAATGAAGTGACACTGGGGAGATTTTACCTTTTAACTAAAATTTCTGGACTAGATGAAACATTGTTTCATTATCCAAATTAATCCTTGTGCTGGGATGTGGCTCAGTAGTAGAGTGCTTGCCTAGCATGCATGAGGCCCTGGGTTCAATCCCCAAAACACTCCCCACCCACACCCTTAGACCTCTAGCCACACACACACACATACAGTGTGTGTGTGTGTGTATGTGTGTGTGTGTGTCCGTCTGTCTGTCTGTCTGTCTGTCTCTATCTCCCCCACCTTCTCCCTTCCTCCCTCCCCTGCCCCCACTCCAGTTAATCCTTGACGTACAATAAGACTCTCAAAAACGACTTAATTGGAAGTGAGATGTCATAGAAAGTCCTAATTGTATTAGGTTTAACAGTTTAGAAACCTTGTTGTTTGCTTGTTTATTTAAGAGTTTTAGAGTGCACATTTATTTACTGACTGACTCTGGAAATCTTGGAGTGACTTAGTATTTTAGTCTCAATTATTTTATGTCCTCTTTGATTTGCTGCTTATTTAAGTATGGCATGTTCTTGGCACTTAAAGGGACTGTGTGTCACCTGGAATTGAAAGCAGCAAGTATGGTTTCTGGAACTGGGGCCTGGTTCTTATGCATCATTTAGCTGCATAACCTTATCCAAGTTATTGTATCTGATATGACTATTTCATCTGTAAAATTAGGATAATCCCTATCTTATATAGAATTGGAATAAACTACAATTTATAGGATAATGAAAATTGAACAGATACATAATATACTTGACAATGAGTGACATAAAATAGGTATTAAACTTCATTTTCCTTGAACTGAATTTTCTCAAACTTGCAGTCTTCCACAAATGGGCAGTTAACCAGAGGAAAAGTGTCTTAGTTTGAAATTAATGTTCCATTTCATAAGGACATAAAAATACTTCTAATTTTTACTTTTGGTCCCCAAACAAACATCCATGTGGCAAAGATGTGCCTCTTTATAAAATATAAAACCCTGCCTGTTTGCTGTGTCCCACTTTAGCTTTCTTGTCTACCTTTCTCTAGCTCAGTTTTGGATCTCTTGACTTCTATTACTCTGTTCTGTTACTGTATTTCTGAAAACCAGAATTTACTGGGGAAAAAAAAAAATCCCCCTGGTTGGAAGCAGATTATCAATTTACAGCCCCTAAAGTAATGATACAGGATAGGAAAAGTAGAATTCAGGGTATCAAACCCTTCTCTAGAATCTAGTCCCTGCAGATGCACAGGATACCTATTAATGTGCAACTGAAGAGAAAAGGAAATATCTGAATGTGATAGAAGAGCATAGCCTATGAAGAGGTCCTAAAGCAGAAGGTTTCAGTACTGAACATGATAATCCTACTTGATGTATAGACTTTTATTTTCACTCAGGTGTACAGATTTCTTCTTTAATCATTCTCTATCCTTACTTAAACTCAAAGCTGGATCAGCTCCTATGTGGCAGTAAAGCAGACACTTGGGATGCAAAGACCTTGATGGAGTGCTGCAGGCCTGACCACGGTTATACACATGACAGGTGAGCGCTGCGTCTGCCAGCTTTTCATCTGATAGCCACAAATTTGGAAGGGGTGTGTGTGTGTGTGTGTGTGTATACACAAAAGTTTACAGCTACAGTCATTCCTTGTAGATTTCAGCTAAAACAGCCAAACTAACAAATTTGATTTCATAGTGAATTGTAATGAGAATACACATTGCAACCGTATTGAAATTATCTAGGGTTGCAGATTGGGTAAATTTTAAAACTGTATTTTATCATAAAGAAATAATTTTGGTATATTTCTTTTTGTAGTCGGGCTGTGAAGTTCTTATTTGAGATTCTCAGTAGTTTTGATAATGAGCAGCAGAGGTTGTTTCTCCAGTTTGTGACTGGAAGCCCACGATTGCCTGTTGGAGGTGAGTATGATATGATGTTGATACTTAGCTATTACTCTACCTGTGGTTGTACATGTGTGTGAACTTCAGTACCAGCATAGAAGATTTTTAACTGTTCCAATATCATAATGTTGTAAGTTTTCAGTTTGTTTCTAGAAGTACATTAAGATAACCACTAGCAGAAATATTCATAGAGATTGTCTTGAAATAGAATCACATGTAATGCTACTTCAGTAAAATTCTTTGGTAGTTGTACATCATAAATTTTAGTTGACTTAGATGAGAGTAGTGGATCGTTAAAATAATTAAGTTGTATTAGTACTCTGTTTTGAAAAAATCAGAAAATGAAACTATTAGGCAACGATTTTAAAGTGATACATAAATAAAGCAGGTTCTGAATACGTATTGAAAGTAGTTGGCAGGCAAGAAAGAATGCCTCATGCGTGTAGTAATACCATACAGCACAGCAGTATGGTGTTCTGAGAGTAATAGCATTGGAGGGGGAAAAAAACAACTCACCAAATTCCTTGGTCTGTCTGCTTTTTCTCTTACTCAGGATTCCGGAGTCTGAACCCACCTTTGACAATTGTCCGGAAAACATTTGAGTCAACAGAAAACCCAGATGACTTCTTACCCTCTGTAATGACTTGTGTGAACTATCTTAAGTTGCCGGACTATTCAAGCATTGAGATAATGCGTGACAAACTGTTGATAGCAGCAAGAGAAGGGCAGCAGTCATTCCATCTCTCCTGATCACAACAAGAAGTCAGTGTCTGCCTGTTACAGCAAAAGAAAAAAAAAAATCATGATTTCTTTTCTAACTGTATCACCTGAGTCAAGGAAACATGTTACGCCTTCTTGTTGTAGGAAAAACGGCTTGCAGATTATAAAGAGACGCTTGGTTGATATTCATTAATGGCCCCATGGACTTAAAAGTGATCAGGCCCTAAAGCGTTGTTGTGATGAGGTTTCTTTAGCAAGTTCTTGTTTAAATTATCATTTATTTGATGAGTGAAGTTTTTAACTTGCTTTGCTGTGTGAAATTTAAAAAAGGGATGTTTTTCCAGGCTGGAACAATAAATGTCGCTGTGCAGTTTAATTCTGGGCTGTGTGTATCCATCTAGCTAAGTCTGCAGTTTTGTTTCTTCCAGAGACAAATCTTTTACATTAAGTGCAGAAATTAAAGTTCACATGTATTTGACAACTATAGTTGAGTAGACCAGCTCTCTGTGCTTCTTAATTCCCTATAATTTCCTCTCCAACACATTATTCTCTGTGCATTTCACACAGGGTTTTGTTGTTGTTGTTTTTAATACAACACTCACAGTTACATTTCCTGAGCTGTGAGCTTTTGTTGTCCCATGTTCTCTCAAATTAAAATATAATTTAAGATTCATTACGTTGAAATAATAGTCTATAATTCAGCCTTTGTAACTAGGTAGACTTTTCTTATAGCTTAGTTTTAATAGAGTTGTAGGGTATTTCTGGCTTTTTACCAGTCAACACACTAGGACTGTTTACATGGCAATTCTAGCAGCAACAGCCTCTGGGATGGAGAAGAGGAAGGTTCATTCATTTCTTTTGTGTTGGCCAAAAATTCTACAGCTTGGGCTGGCCAGTATTTATTCTGTGACCAGAGCATTTTAAATTAAAGTTTTAAACAAGCAGTTTTCATTCCCTCTTAGAGTAAATATATTTTATCCATTGTTCTTATTTTAATTTCTTTTCTCAGTCTTCTTTCTGTCTTTCACTCTTCTTCCCCTTCTCCCAGTGCTAACTTGGGACAAACAGTTCAGTCTTTGCCTCCACACAGATAAACGCACCTGTAAGCGATGCTGTCCATTTGTTTTATGTGCTGACTTCTCAAATCTGCAATAATCCATCAGGTTAATGTTTTTACCTGAAAATAAATAAAGTTTGCTTCACCTTTTTGTTTATAGTTCTGTGCTGTATGCATAGTGTTCAACTGTACAGATGTATGTATACCAATGCAAGTAAATCACGTCTCCATGGTTTGGGTCATGGTTGATTTTACTAGTGAACAATTTATAATAGTAACTTAAAGATCATAAAGTGTGGAAAGAAAATAGAAGATTCCTTCCTTCTAAGGTTAAAAATTAAGTCTGTTACATAAATTAGAATTTTCCATACTTCATCTCTTTGAAAATGATAGAGAAGCCATTTTTTTAACTGAACTTTGAGAAATCAAGTTTACCAACTCTTCCAAAGTCTTGATTTACACAGAAGCTGCTTTCCCCATCCCACCACCCAAGAAGAAACTTAATGTCTTATTTAGGATATTTCATTCTTTTACGCATACATAGCCTTGTATGAAAAATCCTCTCCTGAGAGTTAACTTGGACAGTAATCCCACTAAATGGGGAGAAGGGGACAGAAGAATTGGGGGCTGGGGAGGCTCATGTCCTTGAAGAGGCTTATGAATGCATAGCTTTGTCCTGAAATTGGAGTTGAGTTTCTGCAGTTTCACCACTGATAGCATAGGAGCCGAGCAGTTTAGTTGGGTGAAATTAATGACTGCCTTTGTTATCAGTTCCGATATCTTTTCACAAACAATACAGATTTTTCTCATTTTTAAAAGACGTGTATATAGACAAAGTAATGTTTCATATTAAAACATCTAGATTTTGCATTTTACCCATGGTGTAGTCCTGGTAGATTTGACCTCATTGATTCCAGCATCTAAGGAGGACATAAGTGCTTTTTACTTCGACTCTGGAGTCGGAGTGTTTGAGTGTCAGTAGTTACCTGTTTAAGTTTTCAGTCTTATTTCTTCTTCCACGCATGGGACGTTTGATTTATTTGGGTCAGGAAAACTCTTCCCAATTTAAAGCGCTGTCTCTTGGCAGAGGTCTTAATGCCTCAAAAGGAAAAAGCGTATACTTCATTTGCTGTTTCTCCAGCAAATGGAGTAAATTTGCTCAACAGTCCTCTCAATAAGCACCAATTCTAGTATGCTTTAAACACATAGACACTTGGGTAGTGATTTTTCCTTTAATTCTTGCTGAAATGAAGTCAACCAGATGTTGTTTAGAGCTGTCACAAAATCAATATTGTCATGTAGTTGCTCATCTGATCTGCTTTGTAAGAACATGTTACCTGTTGCACTTAGGTGGTTAAATATCACCACCTATCCCTATGTGCCCCCAAGTGAACTGTAAGTTCTGGTGTCTGATGGGCTGCAGGCACAGATGCGTTCTAGATGTCTTAGCCACACCACTCGTATTAGGATTGCAGATGTCTCCTCAAATGCTTGGGCTCTGGTTCTCCATATTTGTAATCAGAGAAATTTCTTCTATGAGAAAGTAGTATGCTAAAAGTTCCTCTTTTCTGGGTTTGCCTGTTAACTCTTGAGTTGGATACCCCATGGAAAGGAGTGGTGTGCTGATTGGGACACTCTTCCTGTTCTGGAGTGACTTCCCTAAGGCATCTTGCAGAAGGCCCAAAAGCTAGGGGACAGAGCACCAGTTTCTGCTTCCAGGAATTGCATCCAACTTGATTTTCCACAAGAAGGGTTATCCCGTACAAATTATGAGTTTGAGGTTTCCCTCTAGTTCATCATGGGTTGAGGCTGTTCCCCTCAATTCCTGTTAGTATGAGCTCAGGAAGTGGGAAATGCCATTGCTAATCCAAGAAAAAATGTGGTAAAATACTGTGCTCAGTCACAAGCCAAATCCCTTTTGGGTGATTCTGGATGCCATTCAGTCCCCATTAGCAGAAATTATCACCCTTTAATTTACCAATTTTAGGCTTTATTGGGGGAGGGGCATTTTGTTTCCTCTGTTGTAATGAGAACATTGTTTGGAAATGTCATATTCTGTATAATTCTCTGAGAAATGGTTTTGTATGAGTCGGGTTTGACACTGCAGTAGTTGGCACACACAGTACCTTAAGGAGAACCTAGTGACAAATCTCTGAAAATTCTATATTACCTCAAAAAAAAATTTAGATAAAATAGCACTTATATGGAAAGAAAAAAGTATTGGCCATTTTCCAAGAAATTGAAGTTAACGATACTTAAGAAAAAGTTCATAACTCTTGAAGACTTATTCCGCATAAAGGAGGCATTCTTTAATAATGGAAGAGGTGGTTTTATTTTTACTACAAGCCTACTCATTACCAAACCTATTACCAATTGCTAATCTGTGTAAAGTGGTTTTTTTTTTCTTTTATCTGAAACAGTGATTTATATGAACTGTTGGAATAATGGAACCTCAAACTACAAATGTGTATGTAAAATTACATAAATGCACTGACTTCCTTCTCCCTGACTATATTTTTAATAAACAGCATTATCCTACATGGTCAGTTTTATTAAATTATGCACAACTAGAGGGTTCTTTGGAGGAGTGGTGTTTATATGGCTGGTTTGGGGGAAGGTTATTTTGCTAAGTAATGTAGCAATCTTCTCTTTTTTGGAGGCAGAGAGTGGAGAACAGTACAGAAGACATTTAGAGAGATGGCCCTGTTACTTGTGAAGAGACGTTTGAACTTGCAGAAGGTGCTCCTATGAACTGGTGAAATGGTGCCTTTGGGATTGGAAAATATGTGAAAATGTGCAATCAACTCGGAAGAACATGAAGTCACTGTTCACAACTGGTTCTCTACCCTTGGCAAATGTCTAGATCAGCCTGTTGCTGGAACAGAAAGAATTAATTTAGGAAGTGAAAGAGATGGGTTTTTTAAAGAGTAATAACTGATTTTGTTTTTTGGTGTGGAGGGGTTTAGGCTTTTTGCTATTGAGAAATGAAAGCAAAAACTGTGTGTACACACATGCACACAAACACACATTGTCTTGATATAACTGCCTAAGGAAAAAACACATTTTTCCTTTGACGAATCTCATGGTTGGTGAAAGGACTAAGTCACACGTGAAAGGTGCTGCTAACTCCATGCCTTCCATGAGATAGAAAAAGATGGCAAGTTCATGACCAACTTGCTGTCTGTTACCACTTCTGTAGGGTCTGGTTAACTGCACTTGGTTGGTGTAATTGAACTGATGTCGGCATGTTAATGGATTATATGGATGAAGTTTTACATCATGGCAGTTGTTGGGTACACAGCATCCCTTTTGAGACCAAGGCATTGAAAGTCCACCACACATTTGGAGGAGAATGGAGTGTGTGGCCACTGCATTACAACTCTCATAACATATGCTTACTGAAGCCACGTGTTCCTGGCATTTGTCTCACCCAGGTGTGAGACCTCAAGTTATTCAGTTTGCCACATCAATTCCCCTCCCATTTGAGATATGCGGGGTCACAGCTGATGCTTCATAGGAGTATTGCTGTCCTTATGTAAGAATCTGCAGGGGAACCCCAAAATGCATATTTAGTCCTCAAAAATTTGCTTGAGACTTTGGCACTCGAGTCTCTCAAGTGCCCTCTGTGGCTTTGAGGCAGGCACATGTGTTAGATTAGTGCACTCTCACTGGGAGCTGAGGTTTTAGTAATAGATTTTATCCTCTGAGGCTAAAAAATATGTCAAAATATTCATTGGAGACATCATGTTTGGAATTTACATTATTAAGAAAATTATACTGAGGAATGTCAGGACAGAAGACTCAAGTCCAGCTTGAAAAAGGACAAGTTACTCACTGTTAATGAGCAGCTGCTACTTCCTGAAATGTTTGTAAAGTTGGTAGTTATACAAGGAAATCCCAATGGGCTCAGCCTGCTCTTTCCTTGTGTTCCCCCTTTGCAGTGCTAGGACTATATGGATGAAGTTTTACATCATGGCAGTTGCTCCAGGGCCTGGAGCATGCTAGGCACTTGCTCTTCTCTGCTCTCAGCTCCTGCTATTCCTTTCTTAATAAGGGAATTTGGGCCTTTGTTAAAACTTAACTCATCCAGTCAGTCCTCTTCTATTCCCATTGCTTGGCATGCGTGAGGCCCAGGTTGATCCCCAATACCCAAAAGCAAAACAAAGCAAACAGAATCCAGAAAACAGATCATACAACTCTTGGAATCTAGGAGTCCCTGGAGGTGTGATAACTCGCATAGCTGTGTAAAGGGCTTTCTGAAAATACCTTGGTAGAGCCTGGAGGCCTGACAGAGCCCTGGCTCACTTTCCAGCCAGGAATGTGACTCCTAATCTTGCTGGGCCTTATTGTCTGCATTTGTCAAACCACTTCAGTGGTTCATGCTTTAATGTCCTTAGAGTCTCAGATGTTGATGCTTTGAAATGTCTTCCTTATTTCTCAAGGCACAGGCACTTTGGTTGTCACAATTCCAAGTGGAGAGCTGAGCAAAGCATCTGACATCTATGCTTCCAGTCATCATGAAAACCTTAAATGTCCTCTAGTACCTCCAGGTATCCCAGATGGAAGCGCTATATTCCCCTGGTTGAGAAAGCGTGATCACGTGGCAGCTTTGGGAGTTTTCTACTGTCCATGCAGCCAATTATTGGATAAGCAGGTGCAAGAGGAATGCAAAAGTTACCTTTAGAGAAAGCCACAGTTCTTCCCTACCACTTCCTTCTATAGGAAGGTGTCCTCTGACCTCTGACCTCCAGCTTAAGGGAGAGCTTCCACAGCTGTCCCATTTTTCTTAACTAAATCCACTAAGAAGAAAAGTTCAGTGGTTCTGATGATGTTAAATATTCAAGTCAGAGCTTTCGACTTTCTTTTCTTTTTACATACCGTTTAAAATTACAGTTATTATAATTATACATAATAGGGGGAGTTATTATGACATTCATACATGCTTATAGCATAATTTACTCAATTGCATTTCCCACTATCTCCCCTTGTTGTCCTCTCCACTTTCCTCTTTGGTCTCTTTCCTCCTCTCTACCTGTTCTCCCTTCTATTTTCTTAAGATCCCCCCTCCCGTTTTTAAAATCTTTTGTTCTCTCTAGCTTGGAATCTGGCTTATTTCACTTAGCACGATTCCATCCATTTACCAACAAATGCCATAATTTCATTCTCCTTTATGGCTGAGTAGAACTCCATTGTGTATATAGCTTACACTGTATATGTGTACCACATTTTCTTTATCCATTCATCTATTGACAGGCATGGGGGATGTTTCCCTCCCTAATTTGGCTATTGTGAATTGCACTGCTATAAATGTCAATGTGACTGTATCCCTATAGTGTGCTGATTTTAGTCTTTGGGATAAATACCAAGGAGTGGGACAGCTGGGTTATATGGTGGTTCCATTCCTAGCCCTTTGAGGAATCTTCATACTGCTTTCCAGAGTTGTCGTACTAATTTGCAGTCCCATTAGCAATATAAAGTGTACCTTTTCCCCTGCATCCTTGCCACCTTTTATTGTTATTTGTATTTTTGATGATTGCCATTTTAACAGGAATGAGATGAAATCACAGTGTAGTTTCGATTTGCATTTCCCTCACAGTTAAAGATGTTGAACATTTTTTTTGTATATTTGTTGGCCAGTTGTATTTCTTCTTTTGAGAAATGACTGTTTAGGTCATTTACTCACTTATTGACTGGGTTATTTGGGGGTTTGGAGGTTTTTCTGAGTTCTTTATACATTCTGGGTATGAATCCCTTTTTTCTTTTCTGTTCACTTTCATCTCTTTTTTTCTTTCTTTTTTCCTCGTTTCCCCATTCCCAATGCAGACCAGGCACAGGGCCTGGGCTGAGGAGTGCATGGGGTCGGCTTCCTCTGCCTCTTCTTTCTATTTAGTCAGTGAAGAACAGAGCCTATGGTAAGCATCAGGAGGCCTGTTTTTAAGCCAATCCCCTGCCATTTTTGTTACCATAGCTCTGCAGATAGTTTGAGATCAGGTATTGCAATGCCTCCAGTCTCATCTTCTTGCTCTGGGTTGCTTTGGGTATTCTGGGGTCTCATTCTTTCATATGAGTTTTAGGACTGTTTTTCCTAGGTCTGTGAAGTGTCATTGGCATGTTGATGAAGGTTGCATTAAATCTGTAGATTATATACACAAAAAGTTTGAAGAGATGAGTCAAGAGAATTGCTTCTGTCCATACCTCCCCACAGCAGTCAAGTGGAGAGAGACCCACCAACCACATTTCTTCAGGAAATGAGAACAGGGGAACATTTCAAAGACTAATACAATTTTTAACTTAATTTATGTATTAGCTTCTGGGGCTGCTCATTGATTATGAGTAGAGAACAGTATGATGCACTGAATGCAAATTACTACAAATCAGTATCATGGGCCAAAATCCAGGCCTTAGCCAGGTCACACTCCCTCTGAAGTCTCTAAGAGAATCCATGTCTTGCTTCTCCCTTCTGTGGTGGCTTCCGCAGTTCTTTGCTAGAGACCTCATCCTTGCAGGTTCTGCTCCCTGGTCACCCTTCCCTTCTGCGAGTCTCTTTCTTTCAGGGACAGGAATGATTAGACTTAAGGTCCACCCAGATAATCAGGATAAGCTTCTCTTCCTAAGTTCCTTAGCTCTCACCTAAAGGTAAAGCCTGCTCCATTGCCATATAAATATTCTGAGGTTCTTGACATGTCCTTAGGGAGCCACTATGGAACTTGAAAAAGCATAGTAAAGTTTTAGAGATGAGAAGCAGAAGCTGCTGATGCTATTTGCCAATGGTTCCTTGTTTCTCTTCCAAGAAGAAAGAAAGTCTACCGTTTATAGGCTCCCATGTCTGCCAGTGGGTCTGTGTGGGCCTGAAGGTTAAATGACAAAAAGAAATGAGAGCAACATTTGAGTTTAAGCAACATGGCAACACTAAACAAGCAAAAGTTTGAGTAACTTTCAAATTGGAGCTGAGGGAGTCAAGCGTTCTAAGTCCCTCTTCTGTCTGCTATGAAGAGGTTCTCACCCCCCTCGCCCAGGGTTGTTGAAGATTAAGTGTTGAATGACATACCAGCTGAACTCTCTACCCATGTACCCTCACCTTTCTCCTCAAAGATAATTGCAGAATTCACTGGAATTCTTAATGGAAAAAGAAACAACCTGCATAGCAGATGAACAGGAGGGTCCCTCCTCCCAAAGGCCGCCTCTGTGTGACTCTCCGGATTCCCTTTTATGCAAAAATCTCTAGGTGTTGTTCACACATATTTTCAGCAAGTGACAAGCAGTGACAAGAGGTAGCTGAAGGCAGAAGCAGGCAGAAGTTTCAGCAGAGGGCATTGGGACCCCAGCAGTAATGGGAGCCTCCTCAGTCTGTGACCTTGAGCAGATTGCCTGGTCTCTCTGAACCTCTGTGTCAGAGGGTGAGGTGAGTGTAGGCATCACCTCAAAGGCCCAGTTGAGCTCAGCAATGCCCAGCAGGCATGTCAACTCCTGCACTAGCAAACATGCTGGCACCCTTGGTGCAGCCCGAGAGGTGGCCAGGATTCCCCTGACCTTCACTG